GAAGGCTTCTCGATTTGTCGTTTCCCATCCGCGTCGAAATATTGCTGTCTGTCCAGCAAAATAAGCAGCACCCATGACCCGACATCTTAATGGGCGATACAGTTCTGTAACAGAACTTCTGTTAATTGAAATAAACGCAATCAATTGCTTTAAAGTATTTCATTCTATTCAAAAATTCATGTTGAATCAGCGAAGTACAAAAACATAAATTCGCATGCTTCAAAATTTGGATTAAGGAAGGACAAAACCAGCGGCGTAGCCAGGATTGGGTCCTGGGGGGGGGCCCAGCCAAAAAATATTTATATTACCCTTTTTAGGCTTAAAATTTCTACGTTCACTTATTCACATTGTTTTAATACGGGGTATTGAAGGGTATAGATACATAGTTGCACGTATATTACATAGCTTTAAGTGTCAAAAACCACTAACTTTAGCTTACCACATACAATGCCTGACCAATAATCTCCGAAAGCATTTATTATAACTCTAGTAAATTGTTTTCATTTAATTCATCCAAGTGGTTTTTTGATGACAAAAAATCGGATCACACATTAGCGAGGGTTTGCAAATTTGGGGTAAAGTTTGGTGGTACCAAGTGGCTTTAGCACAAAACGTGACATCTACGTATAGATGTATCAAATGGTAGTAGCCAGTGAAAAATTCAATCTTGTGTTCCGTGGGTAGCCTGTTGTGCTTTCAAAGAAAAATTGTATGAACAATTCCGGGCAACATGAAGGGTTTAATAACAAAATTTAAAGGATAGCTCAAAGATTAAACCAGCTTAAACTTGAGATAAATTAGTCAAAAGTCACACTCTAAATAAAAATGAGTCAAATTTACCCACGGTTGAATAAAAAGAGGATGACACAACAAAAAGGTAAAATTTACCCAACATTGGGCAAATTTTACACAACGTTGGACAAATTTTACCTTCTAGTTGTGTCATCCTCTTTTTTACCCAACCTTGAGTAAATTTTACTCATTTTTGTTTAGAGTGCATCAACAAAGAGCTTAGGGCATGATGGGAATAATTGGTCCAAATATTAAGGACTAACATAAAGGGTGTAAATTTATTCCAGTAAAATTCATTTTTTGGCCCCCGCTCGAGACAAAATATTTAATAACTAATGAATGAATGAACCATGAATGTTCATGGTTTTCTTTGACTTTTTTGAGCATGGGTGGAATTAAGCTAAATGCTAATTAAAGGCACAATGGCTTTGAGACGCTAGTCTTACGTAGAAGCGGGGAGTTCTAAATAAAAATTAAAATCATCCAAAATTCGGATGTACAGGAAAAAGTTGCGGTGCAAGCTCTCGTCGAATAATCTGCTTTATGTGGTCGCCAAGCTTAAAAACTAAGCGAAACAAATTATATGCCCCCACAAAATATTCATAGTCGCGTTCCATTTACGTCAACGCTTTGAAAAAGTGAGAATTTGATAACGTGAAGAACTTCGTAGTCACTCCCTATGCACTGATGAAACTCAAATTGGGGTATATCCAAAATTATACTAAGAAAATATACCTATCATTCATTAATGAGGCTCCCGAAATTACGTTTGGCAGTTATGGTGGTTGGTGGGTTTTGAGCAAGACTAAAATTTGTAGTAAATACCTGCAGTTTCAAAAAAAACATTTTCTTTGCAGTGACAAGTTTTGCCGCATTAAATTTACACCCTTTACATATCTGAGATATGATGTCTACTATGAACCTAGGCGACAAAGCTTACAATATTTTTTTACTAAAAAAAATTTCAAACATTTGAACGAAAAATTAAACGAAGGATTATATACACGCGCCTTACATTCAAAATCGGTATCCAGATTTGTCTTTGCATCGTCAGTATCGTCAAATAGCACAGAAATAAAAACGAAGCGTGAAGCATCATCAAAACCGTGAGCTTACAATGCTGCGACCTGAAGTGTTTTCTCCGATTTTGACCTGACAAATTAGGAACAGTTCGTGAAAACAAATAAGTGGGCCCATCTTTTTGCATTTTCTTGAATGCACGTATTTTCCCCCTTACCCGAATTTTTAACCAAAATTAGGACATTTCAAAACGCTGTAACTTTCCCCAGCTTAACCCGACTACGAACATTAAACACTTTTAAAATTTGTAATTTGCGTGCTACTTTGGAGGTTTGATCAATGATGTTTTTGAAAAGTATTTTTTTTATTAATGCTCATTAATTAGTGAAATCAGTTTAAAATTGACAGAGTTATAGCCTTCGAATAATTCTGACTTTAGTTAAAAATTCCACCACAAGCGAAAATACGCGCATCGACAAAAATGCAAATTTGTAGATTTTTTATTTTTGTGCGTCAACAATTTAAAATTCGTCCGATTAAAATCGGAGCAAAATATTTGGTGCCTACGCGTTGACGTGATTTTTTTAGTATAGTTTTACGACGCTTACAGAATTTCTTAGCTGTCGTAACTTATTTCTCGATGCAAAAAACACTACGGATACGAAGTACCATGAATACTCTGTTTATAGCCAGGACTAAAATTCAAAACTGGGGGTCATGGACCCGGCTAAAATTAGAGACCGACAATAATTAATATCTCGGCTAAATTTTATTCCGCCCAAAATTTTAGGTGTTACAAGATCACGTAAAATTCAATGAAAAATGCTTACTGAATTTGAGGTATCTAATTTACCTAGATATTCCATCAGAAAACTATTCGGTTTAAATCTACGTCTTTTCACGAGGTTTAGATGTATTTCAGAAATACACCATTTAGAAAATACTATTTTCTAAATTTTCTATTGTATCCATTTTTATTAAAATTGAAATTAATATTTAGTTAATAATTAGTAGTTGGCATAATTCGTTGATTAACCAAATGTGCAACACATACCTTGGATGGACTATGAACCGGGACACAGAACACCAACAGGCCATGATTAGTCACCTAATAATCATGTCCTGATTATAATTAGAGACCCTAAAATTTTGAAATCTTGGTCTCCAGACACAGCTACATTTGGAGACATTTGGCTATAATTAAAATAGGGCTACAAATAGAGTATTTACGGCAGTGGCGAATTCCCGTAATGTAACATAACTTCATACGTAGGTAATTTAATTTTTGAATTTTAAATTTTTTGCATTTTTTCAATTTTTTAGTATTTTTTTTAATTTTCTCGGGCTCTGGGGGGGGCTCAAGCCCCCCTAGCCCCCCCCTGGCTACGCCGCTGGACAAAACTATACCAAATTATCAGATTAGGCTTTGTATTTAACAAACTCTACTAAATAAATAATTTAAATTTAAATTTCTTTTTATTATGAAGTAGAGGTTAGCTGGATATCCATTTTTTTGGATAATGCATGGCCCGATCCAACCCAACTGGATTTGGATGGATTGGATCTGAAATTTTTTGGGCCAAATGGATTTGGATGGATTGGATCTGAAATTTTTTTGGGCCAAACGGATTTGGATGGATTGGATCTGAAATTTTTTGGGCTAAATGGATTTGGATGGATTGGATCTCAAAAAATGACGATCCAGCTCACCTCTAGTTCTTGTTTTTGAATTTGAACGGATGGTTTCACGATAATTCGGTGAAGGTGTTAAAGTCTTGGAAGGCTTTGGGGGTAAGGAATGCGTGGGAGGGGAAATTGATGGGGAAGTTTAGAAAATCGTGTAAACCAATGTATATCGGATATCCGGGTGTTTTTCGGATAAGATATGTCACCGTGTTGAAGTATTTTCAGGGATTGACGAGGGGTACGTTCAGGATATTGATCGCGTTAAAAAAAGTCAAATAAGAATTACGTAGAATAAATAAGCATGGAATTGGATGAATGGATTTGGATGAATAGGATCTGGGTGTATTGGATTTGGATAAATTTCGTCACCATAAAGAACAACAGGAAGTGTACTTTTTAACATTCCAATCTCCTACTAACCGTAACTGGGCCATACTTTTATTGCATGGTACACACAGGGACACAGTCCAATAAGATTTATCCCGAACACTAACCATGAGTGTATATATATAATTGTTTGGATAGTCCATGCCCTGATCCGATCCAACTGGATTTGGATGAATTGGATCTGAAATTTTTTGGATGAATCGGATATGGATGGATTGGATCTGAAATTTTTTGGGCCAAATGGATTTGGATGGATTGGATCTAAAAAATTTTGGGCGAATTGGATTTGGATGGATTGGATTTGAAATTTTTTGGGCCAAATGGATTTGGATGGATTGGATCTGAAAGTTTTTGGGCCAAATGGATTTGGATGGATTGGATCTGAAATTTTTTGGGTGAAATGGATTTGGGCGGATTGGATCTCAAAAACTGACGATCCAGTTCACCTATATTATGAAGCCACAAAAAGATGAACAGGTGACGGTGAATTTTCCGTGAATTGGAAATCGTTCTATCTCATTTGCTTTGTTGTCTGCATTTTCATACAACTTGCGATTAGCATACGTCGGCTATGAATGAAAAATGACTTTTTCCATTTATTGACCTACAGTCGCCAAACTTTCTGAGAATGTTTATGGTCACTAGTAGGTCACGTAGGTCAAAGTATATTTTCTCATATTGGTCATATTTTCAGGTTTTGGGACATATTCATATTCCCGACCATATTTCGGGGTTTTTTCGTTCATTTTATCATTTTTGGCCAAATTCAAAGATTTGGCAAGCAAATCGACAGAAAATGACAAAAAATTCAGCTTTCTCACAATGATTCATTGTGAGAAACTTTCATAAATTTACGTTCACTTTAGAGGTGAGCTGGATATCCATTTTTTTGGATAATGCATGGCCCGATCCAACCCAACTGGATTTGGATGGATCGGATCTGAAATTTTTTGGGCCAAATGGATTTGGATGGATTGGATCTGAAATTTTTTGGGCCAAATGGATTTGGACGGATTGGATCTCAAAAACTGACGATCCAGCTCACCTCTAGTTCACTTTCGCCTCAGGTGATTTAATTCATTGGGAATGCATTATATCACTCCAGAACTTGTTTATTTGATAAAAAATGAGCATTACAAGAAAATATATCAAAAAATTAAGCCAAAAATTTAAAAAATAAAGTCATTTTTATGGTCATATTTTGGGGATTTTTACGGTCATTTTTCATTCATATTATAAGGTTTTATCGGTCATTCATAGCCGACGTCTGCTCCTTACCCGGAAAATCAATATAAACATCAAACATGTGGTGAGAAATAACAAATAAATAATTATTTTTCCACAATTTCGTAGAAATTCTAGCGAAACAAATTATTTAATTGTACATCAGGCCACAGGTAAGCAAATATTTACTTATGCCGGTTTGTGTATATTGGAAAAATTGAATTACAATTATACAAATGAAACATATTGCGTATTGAATTTTAGATTCGGCAATACACAATATGAAAATTTCCGTAATTACTACCTCTCGTTCAAAACTTATAATTAACAGTTACAACACTAAATATGTTACGCATTTTGACCAATCTTTTCTAAATTGTTCAAATGGAGTACAATATTCAAAGTATTTACTTTTTACACTTTATGCAAATCTTCTCTGGTTTACAAAATTGTCAAAATATGTACACATTCACAACTTAAAGAAAGTGTGTTGCCTTAAATTCCATTAATTTGTTACAGAAAACCATGTCCGGCTGTGTGTTCTGCGCTGAGGCGAGTGTCGCCACGACCGCGACGTCCACAACGATGGAGGCGTATCCATTTATCTGCGCCCAAGTCGGCCTGTCGCCAACGGGTGGTCAAAGTCCGGCCGGGTTGTGTTCGACCTGTCACGATTTGTGGGAGGAGGTGACTCTACTGTATTCAAATATGCAAGGACTCCTTAATCTCATGCGGAGGAGGGTGACCTCGATCAAGCAGCGGGTCAAGGTCAAGGATGGCAATAAAAGTAATCAAACGCGACGTCAAGGTAAATAAAAAAACATATGGTTCGAATTTATTGCGAAAATTAGGGTATTCACATTAGGGTCTTCGTATCCTTAGTATCCTAAAATTTATTACGAAGAAAAAAAGAAGGGCTCAAGTCTCGTAAAAATCGTAACCTTAGCAGCGTGGTTTTTCATCTTCGTAAACTAATTTATGATACCCTTAATATATTTTACACAGGGAAACGATCTCGACCTGGAGCTCCTCCTACTTGTGGATCTGGGCCAGACCCCCTGATAAATTGGCGGTACCCGCAAACCTCCTCCCAACCCGTAGCAAATACTAATGCAGAAATTCATAAGTTCGCCGCCAGCCCCACAAGTAGCGACTCTGATGCAATCGTAAAATTAGAATCTGTCGACTTTGATGATTGTCTCGGTGGAGAAGAAATGGATTTGGAAGACGTTGAAATTATGCCGGATCCAGGTCACGAGAGGGACGATGGTGATGACGACGACGATGATCTGAATGACCCAAGTTATGACCCAATCGGGAATGATGAAGGTGCACCAATGCAGTAAGTACATAAATTAAAATTACATATATGAAATAAGGAAATGTTGATAAAAAGAATCATTTTTGGACCCCATGCACACGCTACACTCTTATAAATCTGTTATTGTCTAGTCACGTGGGTAGTGCTTTCTCTGTATTAAAGGTTCTACCGCCCGGTAATAAAATTATGTTACTGTTTCGATTCTTAGCGACGGAAAGCCGAAGCCAACCCCACGCCAACCTCTCATCCCGCAAGATTATCCCCCCATCGAAACTCTCGTCTCGGAGAAGGGCAAACCCATGATTTCGGTGGAAAATTACCTCTTCAACCTCGTCAGAACTTCGACCACGCTGGGAAAACTGTTGTGGGCATGCGGCCACCACGCTCAGGGAAAGTGTGGCGTCCGCCTCCATACTACGGATGACGCCACAAATCCAAAATTTCTAGTCCAAATTAACACCCATAATCACCCCTCGAATGAAGGAGCAACTTTGGTGAAGAAAGTGATGAATAAAATACGTACGGCCGCACTCACAACGACGGACACACCGCTGGAAATTATTCGCCAGTTTAAACAAGATCTGAAAGCGGTGGAGATAAAGAATGGGAAGAAAATACTGGATGAAAGTATAAAAAGAAGTATTCGCAAGTTTAGGAAAGACCGTGTCGCAGCGGCGGGATCGTCGCCAAGTGAACAGGTGTAATTAAGCGATGAATTGCTACACTGTTAAAAAAAATCTGTTAAAGTAACATTCGTATGTACATATATATGTATTAATTTGGTAAAACTTCCGAATTGTTAGTACTGTGTTTCTGACTTGCAAATTTTTCATCGTCACGACATTACATACGTCTAGTATTATTAGGGTGTCACACATATGCAAATATGTACTACGGCCAGTAATAATTAATACCAGTTTTCTACTTAATTAGAGTCTATTTAATAATTAATTGACAAAATACATACAGTTAAATATATAAGTATCTATGTTGCACAGGGAGTATGTAGAAGTATACGTATGCCTATAGGTTTGCCATTGAAATTTAATAAATCGAATTATCTAATAGAAATTTTGATATTTTCGAACCATTGGTAAATATGTATTTTATTATGCATGAGTACACGTCGAGAAAAAGATCAAAATTGAGGTATGGTCTAGAATGCTTGATTATATAAAGAATTTTGACTGCATATTTATAAGTACTTCGGTACATAAGTAGTGCATATGTACAACTAACTACATACATACATACATATGCAAATAAGTAAATCATATGGAGAACATAGTACATATACACAAATGTCCAAAGCATCTGCAGACAGTTCGGTAGCGATTAATGCAAAGTTTTAAAGTACACAAATTACGGTATCATACCTGAATAATAATTTTGCCACGTCATGTTTTTTTTTTTTATTTGTAATATACTCGTATATAAATTAATTCATACATAACTAATTTATCTGTATTTTGGTATATTTTCATGCACTGTTTTGGATTTTTTGGTGGGTGTTATAAAACGTTTGAAAGTATTTTTAATTCCGAGCGAATGTTTTTAACAACAGAAATACTCTTTTTGACATACATAACCATTAATTAAACTGAGCACCTTTCTACAACGTGAAACGAAATCTGAAAAGTTACATCTTTCTCTGACAAACACTTGCATTTCGTAAACCCACATTATTCCTGCGACTCCTATCGTAACCCCCCAAATAGCAAAAAATTTCGCCAAGCTCGATAACAGAATGAAACCTTCGCCCTCCAAGTTTTGAGTCTTCCGTTTCTTCTCCATTGACAAAGTCATTATCTTCATATGCTCCGTTTGCCTCCAAAACTTCGCCCAATACGTCCTTAGACCAGACTCTCCTAAAACATGCCTCAGAACGCGGTCAATTTCCCAACTGTAATCCGCATAAATTACAGCATAACCATGAAATATGCCTCCGATCGGAAAACTTCTGCACTTCATCTCTTGACCTAATTCAGCTTTAAATTTAACTTGCACGCGCGCCTCGGTTGTCGCAACATACAGTTCTAAATTCCCATGATACTCCTCAAGATAGAACAACTGACCTATCGACGAATTCTTCCAGGCATGCATTGGAATATGCATGAACGGTATATTATTTCCCTTAATGATATGAAATACCTTACGCAAAATTTTGGTAAGTCCATGCTTCTTAAATTCCTCCCTAATATCAGTGTCATTAGCGGTGATATCATATTCTTTAGCATCTAGAGACCCATCATATACTATCTTACTGTACCCCCACACCTTAAAAAATTCTCCAACATGATCAATTTTAAATAATTCCGAAGGTAATATTAGTTTCATGGTAATGAGAGACTCATACCCGGACGACAAAATTAGCATGGCGAAGACAAAAAGTACATACTTCGTTGGATAAGATCTAATCGGTTGCCGGATAGCGATTGAGGTCAAAAAGTAGATCTCTTTCGCATAATAGAACCACCATTTCTTAAAGTTGAACTGTATCATCCAAATTATCGGTAGGAGGCAGATTGTTATACATACAGCTATCCAACAGTGGTAATCGTACGGGGTGAACCAAACGGTCCAAGTTGACTCGAATTTTGCAACTGCTCTGCAATAAAGAATATGCCTGATATAGGTCGAAGACATTCTGGGTACTCGTTCAAGTGATTCCGGATAATCGTGGAAAGCTATATTTATTTGAATAGTGTTAAACTCTCCTGTCAAAAATATATCGGGTGATAAACCGGAGTAAATGGAAATGTTAAAATGTTTTTCGAGAAGATGATAAACTTCAAAGTTATCATCGCAAGGTAACCGTAATTCTGCCAGGTACCTCTTTTCGATATCATCACGCGCAATGCAATTCTTGTCTATAGGATTGGCAGCAAGTAGCGCCCACTTGGAGTGAGTTAGAATCATTAATGGTCGCCATTTGCGGTTAAGTATGTCCCAAGCTGATATATTGGGTGGGAATGGTTGGTACATATTACCCCCACCGCCATCTTTGGAGAGGAAATAGTCCGCCGTGTTGGGGGAAGATGAGAAGGATAGGTACACTGAGGATGGTGATTTACCCCAGGGGATTAATACGTGTTGATGTAAGGTTATCCAGAATACGGCCTCGGGGGAGTTGTAGTAGTTTAAAAATATGTTTTTCTGATCGTATCGTAGACTTGGAAAGGAGTAGGAATTGGCAACAAATAACAAAATTGCGGCACAATCGTTCCCCAGGCGGGGATTAACTCGAGGGAGAACAGTTCCAGTTTGAGAAAAGGTGTGACTAAATATTGTCCAAGTAATTTGTCCGTGTGAAATTTCTGGCATTTTTAATGTTGCCGTGAGGTAGATAAACGATCGGAAATAATAGTCGGGTTGGTACTCGCGGTAGATGAAGAGGCAGTTTTTGCCGTCGCCTACATTTTGTTGTGTACAGAAAATTATTTGTATGAACCCAATTATAAAAGGGAGAATAAAGATGTGTTTTAGATTCATTTTTTAGAATATAATTTTTGAAAAATTATAGATGTTAAGTTTGAGCTGTTCAGCTCTTACATGTCAAACGGGTTGTGACAACAAGTCGTACAACCAGAGATAAAAAGTTTCGTAACTTCGAATGATGTTCATGCGGTCGCTTATGTAAAATGTTTTTGCGTGCCTGTATCGCATTAATAAAATTAGTTGTCAGAAACCTTGTGGGTATTCACGTCAACTTCGTAAGCGTCGTGAACACGGCTTCGCAACATGTTCGTAACTTTGTTACACATAACCAATGAGATTGCTTTATTTTTGTATTTCATTTCTTATTTTTTTCGAAAAACACGCGAAGCAAAAAGGCATCTATTACGTCGTAAAGCAGTTTTCGCACACTCGTCGTGAATTTGCATTTCCCCTCTAATTTTCGGTTTATGTATATATTCACATTTTAAATTGGTCGTTCACGACACCGATTTCTTAAATATTGCAAAGTTGCTAAGCGACGTATTTAAATCAAAAGAATGCCTAAGTATGTTGTTTCTCTGCTTGGTCTATTCGCATGAAATTAATTTTCCTAATGTTTTTAGCAGGCACAGTTTCATTATCTAAAGTTACTTATTGATTACGTGTTTGATTATTTTAATGCAAGAGTTTCAAGCATCTATTATCACTTTAACAAATTTTATAGCATCATGCTATTAGCATGGAAATATGCATAAAATGCGTATGGTAAGAATGGAGACTTTCCAAATGAAGCTCAATGGGTGGGTCAGACAGTTTTTTTTTATAATAAGTTGGTTAATCATTACATGTACGTCTTAGCTGAGTAGTAAAGCAGAAAGCAGTAGAGATAGCTAGGAAGGTGTTCTTATTCTTAGATGATTTTACAGAAGGATAAAACCACAGAACTATACTATAATATCTAGAAGGCGTACTGGACGAGCGATAGTAGTCACGTTATGAGCGCTCGGCGTGCTTCTCAACCAAACTAAATAATACACTGGTGTATTGCACACCAGCGCCACGGGTTGTTGTCTCGAGCAATTTAATGCACAGATGGGTATGTGCACCACCGTCGCTCCATTTGAGACACAACTTGTTCGCTCAAAACCAAAGCAAAGACAGGGTGCTTGGATAAAACATGCCTTCAAAATATCAGTTTGAAATTCATATGAATTTGAGTTAAATGAGAATTTTGTTACTTAATGTGTCACAAAATATGAATATACTAATCCAAATCCCAGATCGCTATTTGCAGGTGAAACTTGGATAATTTTAATTCGGATAAAGTACATAAGTAATTTTGAGGAAACACACACAAAAAGGAAAGTACAGATTTTTAGAGAAGACCGGAAAATAAATGTGGAACATAGAAACCGAGAACGCGCATGCGCAAAAAATTATTTCAACGGTACACAGAGTCGATCGCCATTCCCGGCCATGCACGTGGTCTCCTGGCAGCTCATGGGTTGACATCCTTGCGCGAGACAATAGGTCGAAAATGGGTCAACCCAGTTGGCACAAATGGTCGGCGCGAAGCCATCGCTGCACGTCGGGATCGAAGTTATTGTCGGGGACTGGGTGCAAACCGCGTCATATCGACAGTTGAAGTGGCAGCATTCATAGAGGGGGCAGGTCCCGTTCATTAAAGGGGGAAGGGGGGCTGCCGTGGTGGTTGCCAGGGTGGTGGTCGTTGCTAAGGTGGTCGTTGCCATGGTGGTGGTGGGAGGTCGTGTCGTGGTTGCCCGGGTAGTGGTGGGTGGTACCGTGGGACGTGCGGTGGTGGGTGGCGGGGCTGAAATATTTGGGGAAATTTTTAACTAATTGCTTGTGTGTTGAGATACATATTTATACTTTTAGAAATCTGGTACAGTCAGGCAGGTATTGATTTCTCGGTAGTAAAGTTCCTACCGCTTGGTGTTAAAATTATCTCGGTTCGTAAATATTTGCTACCGACACGGTAAAACTTCAATACCGAGCTATTACTACATGGAATTATGTACATACTTGTTAATACCACTTTGATAGAGTCATACATGAATACTGCTTGTTATTTTTTAATATTGGATTTCTAAGAGTGTACATTACGTATTTTGCGGTGTGCAAATATTTTGGGAAAAATTAGTGTAAATTATTTCTCATACCACACGGATTGACAGATGGACACGTTCGTCCCAAAATTTCTAATGGGTAACAGTACAACTGCGTTCCGCTGCAGAACCAAGCCTGCAAATTAACCAGAAAATGATTAAGTTAACTCATTAATTATTTTGAAAATTATTTCGACTTACATTCGTCCCACTAATGGTGAGGCATGCCACCAGTAAAATTGAAACTGACAAGTTGGCCATTTCGCCAAATTTTAGGAAATATTGGGACTTAAACTCGGACTAAATAAGTTTATTCAATTCCAGACTTCTGAAGTGATTTTTAATTGCGAATCCGCCATGTTTTTATACCTCTCGGTCCATTCATAAAATTTGCAATGGTTTAAATTTGCATGAAAAAATGATTCGTTTATAACCTTTTCGTTACAAGAAATGATTCGTAATGGCCAGCCTTGATTTTTATATGCACCTGTTTTCCGATACATATGCAAAGTGAAATTCTAGTTTAAGCGGGTTTCACACGTTTAGATAACAGGAAGGATTTAATTTGCACACGTTTTGTAACTATTTAAAATTAAACTTTTTAACAGCCTGTTTCTTAATGCAGATAAATTTAAGTGAATAATGCATATGACAGGATGCTGAATCAAACTCACGCCAAGTTAAAGTATTTAGTTACAGAAACACAAAAAAGATATTCGATCACTGGTGGTGTCATTCATAAAATATTTCATTGATAAAAATATTGGAGAAGACCGTGTGCAAAAACATGACATAATTCCGATTGAAATTTTGCACTGATAATGTATTTACATATTTTGAGAACCGTGTGCAAAAATCTTCTCATTCAGATTTTGGGTTTAGCCCGAATGAGATTCTTGTTAAGTTTCAACTTCAAATTCGTAAAATATGACCTTACCTTGTAATGATAGACAGTTGCAAATATGGAGTAAATAATTAGGTCTTTGGTTACCTCCTGTGCACTCCCCCTCTGTTTTTGGATCGTAGATAGTAAAAACTTCCTCCAAATGTGCACATAATTTTATTTACAACAAATTTTATAGCCAAATTCAAATAAATTGAAAATTATATATACCGTGAAAATTATGTTGTGATCTTTCATGAATAATAAGGAAACACAAATAAAAATTATTTTTTCTGTTTTTGCGTCATGAAAACAGTTAATTTTTTAATCTACATAAAAACACTGTAGTCTTAATTAACCCTACAATTCGTCTGACTTCCAAGTCCCCCCAAATTCCTTGATATTTAAACCCTTCCAAAATTTATTATTCACTTCCCAAGAATCCGGTAATGGTTCGACTTTTGGTGGATTTTCAATCCGTAGCCATTTTGCGGTTCCTTTTTCGTCCGGCTTAAATGTCGGCCATGCCAAGTTTTCCCATGGACCACTTGGTTTACTAAATTAAAATACATAAAATTAGAGATTCACTCCAAATTTTAAAGCACTGTTGGAAATCTCGTGTATGTAGCCAAGCAAATATTATTTACTCTATATTAAAGTGCTACCTCTTGGTATTAAAGTTATACCGGTCCTACCGATACGGTAAAACTTTATTACCGAGCTACTACTACACCGTATGACTTATCAATACCATTTCCTTAGAGTCGTATATTCATGAATACGGCTTGGCATTGCTTTAGCTTTAATACTGGATTTCTAACAATGCATTTCCCATCGTGTTAAATAAATATGTACCCCGTATCTGCAAACGCTACCCAAGTGGCGATCGTCTCTTTTGAGAATTTCTCGTCGTCATGACCTTTGCCGATTCTGTGCAGATAATTTGCTAATTCACCCTTCCCATCGAAAATGTACGATATTTCATCCGCATGGCCGGGAACCTTACGGGTTTGTTCCCCTGAAAACAATAAGTCGTAACAATTTTAAAGTATTAATTTTAAAATATCAGTTGCCACGGAAGCCTTGGGAACATCTGGGGACATTAACATTGAAGGATAGGAGTGGGAGGGGATACCCATGGGTGCATGCGCCCTTTGTCCCCACGCTTCCACGACTACTGCACTAAAAAACTAAAAAAAATCGCTTTTCAGTACCTTCCGTAGCGGTTCCAAACTTTACGATGGGAACCATCTGCGTAAAATTGTATAGATAAACGGGCACATGTTTCGCATAGATTTCCGCATAAATGCGAGTCGAATGGACAAATTGGCGATCGGAATAGAGGGCCTCAAACTTTGAGTAGATCGTCTCATTGATGTAATCGTCTCCGAGGAAGTGCGCTTTTATCGCTTGACTAACAAGGGCGGGATCTTCCGCGGTGTTCGAAATGAATAAAGCGTTTGGGGCAATCCGACCCCACTGATGGTTCAATTTCTTAATAAAGGTCGGATTTTTAAGGGTGGCAGAGACGGTGGCGCAAGTTTCGCACGCCACGAACCCCATGATTATGGGAACCTTGGCGAATTTTCCGGCGACGATGAGGTCGTATGGGGACTCGGTGAGGAACACATCGCCTGTGGAGTTATCGGGGGGAAGGTAGGTTTCGTAGGTTGGACCCGTCAGAGCCACGGAGGATTCGTCGTGACCCTTAAATTTTGCAAAAAAAATAAATATGCACCACTTTTGCAAATTTTTCAGGACATGATTAATGAAAGTTTTTGTAATTGGCAGGTTTGTTTCGCCGAAGAGGCAATTCATGCAGGCCTTTACGACATTGTGATTCACAAATTGCGAAGTCCTTAAATTCTATAAACGTACAAACTTTCACAAAATTTTGCTCACATTTTTAAGGAAAATTAGCTTGAAAATTGCAAAACTTGCTTTGTAAACTTGTAAACTTGCTCAAATCAAGGGCGTCACTTTATTTTGTAAAACTTTGCAAAATTTTATCACAAACTTTCGGATTTTTTTATGAGGTTACCAATGACTGCGTGGATTGCCTCATTTGCAAAAAAATTATTTGAAAACACCTATTTAGTCTGCCTAATTTTTTAAATGAAATCCTTTCACTTACGAATTCATAGTTCAGTCGCGTATTTTTCACGATGACTTTGGCATCCAATCTTTGCAAACATTCGACCAAGTATTGCATATTGCTGGACGGACAGTCCACTTCCTGCGCCAACTTGACGGCGACATCGCGTCCGGCCAGACCACGGAAGAAGAATGGCATTCCTGCCGTGCCGGATTGCATGATGGCGCGACTGAAGAGACCGGTCGCCATGGGGGACACGGTCAGCAGAGAGACCGAAATGCCACCCGCACTCTGGCCAAATATCGTCACTTTGTCTTTGTCCCCGGAAAAGTGGTGAATATTGTCACGCACCCAGCGCAGAGCGAGGACTTGGTCTTTCATTCCTGTAAATGTGGGTAAAATTTCGCGTAAATATTTGCATATTTACAAATACAATTGAAGTAATTCACGTGGTTTTTGGTAACTTTGTAAAATTCTGAAATTCTGTCTTAAAAACGTGCAAACTTTTACAAAATTTTATGCATAAATATTTCCAGGGAAAATAACCCTACAAATTTTTGTAAACTTAGGATTAACCAAGTCAAGAGCGTATTTTAGCTTTGTAGAGGTTTGTAAAATTATTTTGCAAATTTATGGATTTTGCGAAGTTACCACCAACTGCGTGAATTGCTTTATGAAATTCTTATGAAGTAATTAGAAAAACAAATAAGGCGGATATGTAAACGTCGCATAAAAAATAACACGTGCGAATTTTTCACGGTAGTTTTAACAAAATATTACAAGATTTATGCAATTTTTTCGAGAATTACATACCTTGATTTCCTCTCGCACTTGAAACCCCAGCATTGAGAAATCCTTGCCAAAAATTTACATACGTTTAATAATCATCAAATTTTTAAATGAACGTTTAAAAATTGTCTTCACTCACCGAATGCACCAACTCTATAATTTATAACAACCAGAATGACCTCCTCGTCCATAAAGTAGGACCCCCCATAGACCCGATTTGACCCGGCTGCGAAACCACCCCCATAAATCCAGACAAGAACTGGGAGCAGTTTTTCGGAATCATTCGATGCCAACTACACAATTATCAATGTAAATATTCAAATTAATAGATATGTACATTTTCCTCGAGTATTTGCATTGGGTGTACTCACGACATGATTTAATTTAGCATCGCAACTCATTTATTTGTAGCACATTTGCGAACCCATAAAAATTTACATCGCGAAGGGATTCTCAAAATATGTATGACTTCGCTCGTGATGGTGAAGATGAGCATGCGAATTAGATAATTTTTGCAAAATGAAAGAATGCCCAGTTCCTGGGAAATTTTGCAAAAAAAACGTTTTCCACGAAATTAACAAATTTCGTAAAACTTTGCAACAATTTGCGAAATATGCGCGACACAAAAGTTGACGTGATTACGTCAATTAAAAATTAAATCACCTTTGGAGTGTACACGTCCAAATTGAGACAATCCTCACTTCCGGTTACTTTACCGTCTAAAAGACTCGCGTGCATGCACTCTGGTCCATTTTCCGTCGCCATCCTAACCCCGCTCCAACCATCGGCGGGTTTCGACATCTGATAAAATTTTGGAAAATTACTACCACAATTCGCCAAAATATTTGGCACTCGTTTTAAAATACCTCAAACCGTTTCTCAACTTTCCCAAATGGCACGCCATAAAAAACCGAGTAATTCCTGTCTCCCCGACTTTTCTCGGTTTTCCCTTGAAGGACGCCCTGATCCAGGTGGACCGTTGGAGGTCCTGAATTTTCACCTTCACATGGCGCTAAGATAACCGACACGATAAGTAAATTGATGACTGCCTGCATTTTCCGAGTAGTTTCTGCGTCAGACTAGACGAAGGCGTAGAATTGCACGGTAAATAAATACAACCGTGACGACCTTGAAACTAAGCAAACTTTATTGGATGAAACTTGCCAAAAGATTGTGCAGCATGGCAAATAAAGTGGGCAAAAAATCATACTTTTTGCATCACTTTCCCTACGAGCAAGAGGTATGTATGTATGTATGAACCTGCAAAGATACTAAATAATTACCTAATTAAAATTTTGTGTAAATCATTATTACGTGAGTCATGTCATAGTATGAGTCAAAATTTCCAATATTACTGGCTTATTAGCATAAGTAATAAGATAATTAGATATGATGTAGCAGAATTGCATAGGCAAAAAAATCAGAAAATCTCCCATCTTATTTACCTCTTTGGACAGATCATCATCTTAATGCCTAAAAATAAGTGGGATGAAGAGTGCATCATCTTTGCTTGAATTACATATTCCGATAATTAAAAATAATAATGTAGACTTATTCTAGTAAATGAATTACGATAACCTCTGGCACTGAGAAAGCAATACGAACGAAATATTAGATAACCTGTAGGTCTGCACAAATTTGGATGATTTTTTGGTCAAAAATAAAGTTTCTCAAAATTGTCTTAAAATTCGCACGTGTTGACTTATGTATCTATTAAAGGATAAGTTGAATGAGTTTGGTTTACGGAATTACTCTATGATCCTGGCTAAATATAATACTGGTATTAATTATAGGGTTGCCCCGGGTAGTGCTACTACCCGGTACCCGGCTACCCGGTACTCGGCCTAATATGTTCGCCGGGTACCGGGTAATATTTATATATTAAATGTAAAGGGAGTTATTCTACTTTTCGCTAGAATTTGCAAACAATTTTACCAGTTTTAAGAAGTTGCAATAAAGTACAGACTTCATTTAGGTCGAGTCTGGAAAAAAGTCCTATTCGAAATTTGTGTCCGACTTGACCGGACTATCACCCTTTGTGGTGTGGCTGGTCGAATGCTTTTTTGAAAATATTTCCTAGTACATGCCACCTACAGTAATCTTTGATTTATTGACTAATCCTTCCCCTTGACTGACACTACCGATAAAAATGCGTTTGGGGTTTTTAAAATCTTGGACAGAAAGTTGTACCTGTTAGGCATAAGTCATTCTTAACCTCCATATCAAATTTCAGATAAAAGTAATATTTACAAAAAAAATCTGTATGGGTCATAGATGCATAGGTGCGCAGCTTCCGACTTCCGGAAGTCGGAAGCAGCTTCCGGACGTCGGAAGCGGCGATTTTTAGTCGGAAGCGGAGGCGCTGGAAGTCGGAAGCACAAACTTTGGTCGGAAGAGGAAGCACTGGAAGCTGGAAGCACAAACTTTGGTCGGAAGCGGAAGCACTGGAAGCTGGAAGCACGAAATTTTGGTCGGAAGCGGACGCCGGAAGCTCTCGGAAGCAATGTTGTAGGGGCTATCGAAAGCAGCTTCCGGACGTCGGAAGCGCGATTTTTGGTCGGAAGCGGAAGCACTGGAAGCTGGAAGCGAAAATTTTGGTCGGAAGCGGAAGCACGCAACTTTGGTCGGAAGCGGACGCCGGAGGCGGAAGCTGTTGCAAGCTGCGCACCTATGCATAGATGTGGGGCTCACACAGAGCGTACTCATAACAATATCTTATTTATCATCGCCACCCATTTAGCAAACTTGTGTAGCTCAAAAATTTGTTTCATGAGGGGAGTCGCAAAATATCACTTTGAAAGTCTTCCAGTCCTATTAAAGACGCCTATTTTGATCTTGTTTTCATGGATTTTTCACTATTTTTCGCTGATAATCGGGAGGATGAGTTTGTTAAATTATAATGTGCCTAATTGCTGGACAATTTTGCAAAACCAATGGTTTTCTAGCGAAAGCTTTGAGAAATGTCTCAAATTTTGCAAAACATCGCAAGTTATATTTATTGTCATGCTTAATCTGGGAGATATGCAAGGGTTGACGTGAGTGCGCCCAAAGTAATTATAATATCTGGACAAGAATTTCCACCTAAGAATTGGCCTAGTTTGTACTCATTCTTTCAAAATATATTATTTTACACCAAGGACAAAAATGAAATTCATCGGATTATAATTTTTTTGTAAGGTTTTGCAAAAAATTTAACATTTAAATTACCCGGCCGGGTAGACCGGATAGTAAAGTCTACCCGGCCGGGGACCGGGTATCACAAAACAGGCCGGGTATGCCGGGTATCACAAAACAGGCCGGGTATGCCGTGTACCGGGTATGCCGGGTACCGGGTATGCCGGGTACCGGGTATGCCGGGTACCGGCTAACTACCCGGTACCCGGGGCAACCCTAATTAATTACCAACCAGTTCGCATGTTCGCATAGAAACATTATTTTGGAACAAATTTTGCTAACTAGCCTTACATATGTGCAATTTTGCAAATTAATTTTCCAGCAAATTTGTGTTTGCTAATATTGCTAACGATGCGAACTCGTAATGAATACCACAATGGAAACTCCACATCCTGAATGCATACAAATTTTCATACCCTTAACTTGCATGTCTCAATTTCCTCGTCTCAATTCTTGGCAGCGGGCTGGCTGTAATAAATCCCTGCTGATTTATTTTTTGTTTTGGCGATTGACAATAAATTGAATTCTTCCCATTAAAAACTCCTCCCAGTTAATTAATTACTTAATAATTACCACTGGTTTTTTGCAATGGAGTCGTATGGCGTCCTTCCTGCCGACAAGTTGAAGATTTGGACCATCTTTCGGAACGTGGGAGTGGAAGGAGAGGAAATTTTGAAGAGGGCGAAATTGGTCCACGTCCACGACAAGGAGGGATTCGTCGTCACCAAGACGGACGAAACTTACCACTTCATCCATGGCGGTTTAGGTGATGCGAAAATTGACAGAATTCCTGAATTGTGCAGGGTTCGAGTGAAAGGTACACATATTGAAAATAAATACTGCAAAAAATTAATAAACCGAGCCGTGCTTATTTTCTGTTTGTATTAGAATTCATCATTGGAGCAATTAACCTCGCAATTACGGAGGACGGCCGCCTCTACTCGTGGTGCAGTGAACTCCGCTCAGCCGATACGCCAATTGAAGAGCAAACTGAGCAGTTAGGACGCTCCGCTTCGGGGGATGGTGTATATACCCCCACACAAGTGCAGTGTGGTGCGGCCATACATAAAATTCGGCAGGTCGCATTACTAGGGATAGGGGAGGGGCGTGTCTTGGCGTTAACGGTGCTTGGCGATGTCTATCACTGGGCGACAGTGAGGTACAAACCAACGCCGATTGACAAGAGACAATCGAATGGAAGGAAAGTTATCTCGGTGGGGTGCTGTGCTGCGGCGTATTTCGCTCTCAGTGAATCCGGAGAGGTATGTTAAAGCTATATACATACATGTGCAAATTAAGCTTTTTCGCGAATGGAATTTTCGTATTAAAAAAAAACGTCCTCCAAACTTTCGTGGGAAATCAGAATTCAATTTTCCTGCAGACACGTTTGCACCAGAAATCTGACCCCGGTTAGATTCCTGACTACTTAATTTTAATTTTTTTACAGATATTTCGAATTGGACCGCAAGCACTGGAGCAACTAGAAGTTAACGTGGGTGGCATCCCAGTTAAGAAGGTATTTAATTGTGGGGCAGGGTATTTATTACATTTTGTAACGGCATTTAGCTAAATTTTCTATTATTTACGTTCAGATTGCTACCACACAAACAACAATTTGCGCTTTGACTTTAGATGGTAAAGTGCACTCGTGGAGGCTTCAAGGTTCTTGGGGGCAAATAGAACAGATGAGGATTCCACTGGTTGCTCATTTCAAGGACGTCCAGGACATTAAAACTTGTTGGATGGAAGACGTTTGTATTGTCGAGGTGAAGGGTAACTTACGTTTTGCTTGTTATCTGGGAATTCGGATGGATGTGATTGTCCCGTACTCGTCCGTTCCGATGGAGGAATGTATTGCCCAAATAGGCCAAAAGAGCTACCGGACTATGATTGTGGGGCCAATTAAAGAAGCGACGAAACGCACGTTAGGTGACAGTTTATGGAGGAATAAGGTTAGTTTTTATGGGAGATTGGCCAGTTTGTAAAAATTGGTAATGTTTTTATTGCGGTATTTACCAGGGTGCACTTTTGCCATGACAACCACCCAAATTCAAAGCAAAATCGCATGCAATTCCCGAACTTTTAATTTTTTTGAAAAAAATTCATCCTTGCATCACCCCCTTAGGAGAAACCACGGACAACAAAAAAGTTTATGCACCCTGGGTATTTACGTTACAGAAAAGTATGGACGTTACATTTTCCTTGGAAGGGAAAATGATTTCAGCGCATAAATTGGTGCTCACGTGTGGAAGTGAATATTTTGCAAAAATGTTTAGCGGCGAGTGGGTAGAGAAGAAAGGATCGTGAGTACTTTTCGAAATAATACTATCATATGTTTAAGTTGTTTAATTTAGGATTGATTAATTTCTAAATTTTGTAGCGTGATTGAAATCAAGGACACGAAGTATGAAACATTTGAAGCTATACTGTTCCACATTTACCACGACAAGGTCTCCTTTTTCGTGGACGAGAATGAAAATATTTGTGGTAAGAATCATTAATTTGAATATTATTTTGAAATTAAATGAGTTATTAAGGCATTTCACGTCAGCCTTCGTAAGTTCATGACCCCGTAAATTTACGAAACTTCTAAGGCAATTTATGCTTAACTTACAAAACATTATGAAGATGAAATGCATGCTTTTCGTTAGTAATCTAATCTTTGAATTGCGTAATTATTTTTAGATCTGATGAAGTTGGCGGATTGTTATTGCGAGGTGAAAATTCGGCGTGAATGTGAAGAGATTCTTATGCGGAATATCAACGACAAAAATGCATTCCTTTTGCTTCAAAATGCCGCCGCAGCAAACGTTTTGGTACCCGATTTTCTGTCCAACCTCTCCTCTCATGGCTCTCATAATAATTTTATTTCTAATTCAGAATTATTTTCATTTTAGGAATTAGAGAAGAATGCGACAAAATTCATTCTGGACAATCGCCTCCTCGATGTACAATTAGCCTCGTCGGCAGGTGACTTGGTCAATTTCTTGGGTAGGGAAATATTCGACAAGTTGGCGCTGGCCGCATTTCGCCGATAGTTTGGTATTTAGCGTGTTCATTCAGGAATAATTATTTTCGTTCATGTATTACTTAAGAATCCACTTATTTGATAAATTACATGGTTCACATAAATAAACAATGTGATAACAGCTTCATGTTGAGTCTCAAATTTTTTGTGTCAATTGTTTACAGCTGGTTAGCCAAATTTATTTAATTGTTACACTACTTCCTGAGTACATATAGATATATTAGATTGAACGCGTATGTATGCACATAAAATATTATTTAGATCTTCCTTCGTCATACATATGTATGTATATCAAGTCATTTAAATAGTTGCAGCGGATGTTGTGGGGATATTCGCATTGTGGAATTCGAGGAGGAGGAGGAACTTAGATACGATTTTGCTGAATATCTGGCTGGGGGGAGGGGGAAAATCCCCTGATTCGGACACGAGTGCACTCAAATACTTCATATCACCATAATTTACTCTATTTCCTTGCTAGCAACAAACTAATCGTATTACTTGTCACTCTTTCCATAAAATTGGCAAAATATCCCATTTCAATCCCCTCTCGCATCGTTTCCACCGAACCGACAAACTCCACATTGATAAAATTGGGCAACAAACTTCTCGAGACGCGTTTTCTATATTTATTCCTACCATGATTTCTACCCGCCTCAAGAATAAACTCTTTCGAGAGCGTCGTCCCCTTGGCGACAAACGCTATAGCGAACCACTCCACAAATACCGCCACCAAGACCATCGTGACACAAAGGATCGCACTAAAGGGCGTCACTTTGCCATCAACAATGACCTGTATCATGACACAATAGATGGCCATCGTTGCCCAGACGACGGCGTAAAAGTGGTGCATCAGCGGGATTACGAAGTCTTTAGCGAGGTCAAATTGGATCAAGGTCGTGACCTTGAGTGCCCTATAAATTTTGACCCCGGTGTCGAAAGATATCTGTGTCGGCACGAGGAAAAGTGTCCACAAGTAGAGCGTCACGATTCCATACATTACCATCAAGATCGCTATTTCCATGACGGCTCCCACCATCGCCATGGTTACGGTAGAGACGAAACCACAAATTATTTTGGAGATAAAAAAATGTTTGTCTGAAATCGACGTGACCACAGCAGCGATCGAGTTGTACGGAGAAAATCCCACGACCAAGCATAACCAAGGGATTAAATAGTCAAAGGCGTAGAAGAATAAGGCAACGATCGTGGTAATATTGTGGGTCACGGTGGTTTGGATGACGTCTCGGCGTGGTGTAAAAATTTCGGGTGGAATCATACCTTCGGAAAATATTAGATTATTGACAAAAACGTTTGTTTTCAAAGCTTTTTTTATTAAATTCCGGTATATATAGATTTCTCGGTATTAAAGTTGCTACCGCTTTGTATTAAAATTATATAGGTCCGTAAAAGTTTGCTACCAATAAATATGGTGAAACTTTAATACCGAGCTTTCACTTCATCGTGTTACTTATCAGTACCACTTTTGCAGAGTCATGAATGAATACGTATCTAAATACAGCTTGGTAGTATTTTAATACTGGATTTCGAACAGTGTATCCTTGACCTTAAATAAATACCTCACCTTGCAATTCCTCCTCCAAGTGTAACATTGACTCAAAAATGCGGACGAACTTCTTGGGCCCATAGGGCCACGCGAAGGACCACATAAATTGAACACCAATCCAGACATAAACCAAGCAAAAGGAGGCGAACCAAACATCCACAATGTCCACACCTTTCACACTAAAGGCCAGATTATGCCACCTAATCAGGCTTAGCGGCAGGGCAACCACGATACAAAATATGACCACGATTTGAAACGTTCTGTAACGCCAGCCATTTCCGAGCGGGGTGGCGCCCTTCTTCTCATCCCAGGAAATAAAGTACCCCGTGCGCAAAGAGCTACGATGCGTGGCTAGAATAGTGCGTCGGAAATGGCGAAATGCTTCGTCACGCCACATTATCAGATTTTGGAATGTTTTTAAAGATCTTAGAAAATTTTAAAAATCTTAAACAAATTTGAATTTATAAAAAAATAATCTACTTCAGAAATATTTGGTACGTATTCATTTGACTGCACGGTATTACGCAATAAACTTTCTCCTACTGGTAATTTCAATTTAGGTTCACAAATCGTGACGTGGGAAGGATTACGACTTTCTTATTTAGGTAATAATAATTATTAGGTAGAGGATTGCATGATAAATAAATTGGTGGTTAATCGGACAAGTTTTAATATTCATTAAAAAGCTTATAGATTTCTAAGGTGAGCGATCAAGCGAGGAAAATATGTATTGTCTGGATTTCAATAATGGTTAGTTAGTTACACTCCAGAATAGAAATCCAGTATTAAATATAATGAAAAGGAAGAACTCCATCATATTTGAAGCTCTTATTTTAAGTTGTTGTTTACATACAACAACTTCAAATTAATATGTACATGTACGTATTAAATGGTTGCAGGCGTTAGCCCATGTTAGAGAAATACCTATGCTGATGCGTGCAGGTCAAAACCATACATGTTAAACTCATTGCATTAATGACAATATCATGCATAGATTGGCATTTTTAGTATCCATTTTCTATATTTGGCTTCACCTAAGCAATCCTTTTTGCTAAGGTCCAGATTGCAAAAGTTAATTAATTATGCACAAATTTGATTAATACTTTTCATGTACCCTGCTTACGTAATCATGACAATATCTATGTATGTATGATGACTGAGAATAATTCGAAGCTGATTGGAAATTTATTATTCCCCGTGTGGAACTAATTGCTAGATAGTTGGGATATTGGATACAATTTGTCAAATATGTACGTATGCATGTATACATCAACAACTTGTTAATCAATATATATTTATGTCAACTCTTTTAAATTAATGGATCCCAGAAGAAATAAGAATGAGGTTTCAACTAGGAAATTATTAACAAAGTCATACAGTGGAATTATTTGTATGCGTCACCCAAATTGCCTAAATGTCGCTATGCCATTTTCGGCGATGTTGAACAAACTACATATGTATGTATGTCCAGTCGCCGCGGAAGCTGTGGGGACATGTGGAGACATCAACACGGTATGATACGGGAGAGAGGGGTTTATATAGAATGGGTAGACGATGGGGACGCCGAATAACTTGTCCCCACGGTTCCGCGGCCACTGTGTATGTCTCTCGGGTACGCATGAAAACATGCAAATGAGATTATACGCCAAAAATAATTCCACTTGATATATACAAATAAAAGTACGTAATATATATATTTAAAAATATTCCTACGATACAAAAATGTATCTTATGAAAATTGTAAAACATGAAATGCAAACTAATACTAATCTAAGAATCTAAGTATATACTAATCTAAGAATGCAAAGCACTTACTAAAGAGCTTCATTATTTGCGGATGATTTCGAAATTGCGCTATTGGTGAAGCATGTACCCTCCGCAGATAGTATTGTGGTTAATCATTAGAAATTAGGTAATGCTAGTAACATACAATTGGAGGCATTTATTCTTATCTAGGTAAGAAATACATACATATGTAGATTAGGATTACAGTTTTTTTACAATCCAACTGCCCTTTTAGCATTAATTCGCCCATTGCCATACGCATTATTGGGATAGCTAGTGGTGTTCGAGGATACACATTCTTTAGTGATTGGTGGACGTTCTGCAGTCCGTATGAGTGCCTGTAAAACGTCGTCATACTTCCAAGATGGGTTAGCTAAGAGTAATAATGCAACCACCCCAGCTCCATGTGGGCAAGCCTAAATTGTCATAAATTAGAATATCACCAATTCCGTTTATTTATTATGTACAAGTATTACCATGCTTGTTCCAGACAAGTTTTTATACCCCTTCGGGTCTGTGTTATCTGCAGAGACAATAAACTCTCCAGGAGCCGCAATCTAAAATACATATGTATGGTTTTGAAAACTTGTAAAAAACACGGGTGGCTGAAACAATTACTCATTTACCTGCGGTTTGATTAACCCTTTTGGGGAGGGACCACGGCCGCTGAAACTTGAAATTCCATCATCCCTCCTCGTAGAACCCACGGAAATAACATCAGGGTGATTTCCAGGGTACCTCGCACTACCACAGTTGTCTCCGCTATTGCCACTGGCGAACACAGGGATAATCCCAATAGCCCTCCAACTTTTTATTACATCATCGAATGAAGTTGACGTTCCGCCATTTGCAATACTCCAACTATTACTAACAACCCCAGGTCTTTGTTGGTATACCCATTGACCACAGGTTTTTATCCAACTTTCCAATCCTCCCCCATGTTGGGTCATAGCCCGACAAGCGATCCATTTTGCGCGAGGCGCGACGCCGATGTTATTCGTACGACCCAAAATGGTTCCTGTACTTTGAAAATAATTTACATAAATCGTAAAATATTTCCAAAAAGGAATAAATGAAGATAAACCTAGGGCGTGAGTCCCATGACCGTTCGGATCAATCGGAGTCGTTGATGCATCAGAGGTTGCATCTAACCATTTCCCTGTGTAGCCATCTCTTAGCGCTTCGTGCTCCATGTAAACTCCGCTGTCAATAATTGCCACAAGGACATTTTCCCCTTTTGTTCTGGACCATGCGGCGGGGGCCTGTATCTTGTCCACTAATACAGAAAAATATATCAAGGAAAGATTAATTTATAAATAGTGGTTGTAGCTCGCACCTCCCCAATGAGGGTATTTTTGGATGGTCTCATTGAATGTGGCACGGCTAACTCTATTTCCTCGCACAACAGGATCAAGCTTGGCAACAAATTGCTCTCTTAAATTGAATACACCAGGAAGTGCACCAAGAGATTGAATGGCTCCTAAATTGATATTTGTTAAACTGATATCATTTGAAATCCAAAATGGGGTAGCAGAGTCTGAGATTCCAAGTCGATTGATTGCCGCCATGAAGGGAGCTTGGGATGCAGACGTGGATTGTTTCATCAAAGTCTCCATCATATTGGCTTTGTCAGCCCCGGTCAAAAACTTTAAGGCTGGATTGCTCATAACTTTCCCAAAAACGGAGGGAAGTTCTAAGATGGCGTCAACTTTCTGGCCATTTCTTAACTTGGATAAAAGTTCACTGGAAATGGTCCCGCAATTGGATGAGTGTATACAATTGCAGATAACTGCCACAATTATCAAGGGGAATAAGTACATTATCTTGTAAATTGGAATGTTTCGTGCAGTACTGATTCGATTAGTGAAATAACTGGGTCCTCCTTGCATTTTTATAGTAGCTTCGTGAAGTGTTTATGAGGTGCTTTATTGCACAAGTGCTAATAATTAACACAGTTTAATAGATTGTATGAAACGAAATTACAAAAGCTTTAAATACGGTATTATTCCTGTTATTCTGGTTATTGTTCTTGTAATTGGCCTAAATTGTTTCGCACAAGTTGTTTTGTGGTTATAATTCGTATATGTTGTCCTCAATTTCGAAAGTACATATGTACATTTACTGAATTTTATCCACCGTCTGAATGCAAAATTGTAGTAAAATAATTAATTTGACTCAAGATAAATATTTTTTGTGGCTATACATACATCTAAAAGGAATGTAGATCATTGTGATAGGTTTCACGTGGCAAAAACATCTAGCTAATGTATTAAATTAACGAATATAAATATATATATGCGCGTAACACCCGAATGACTTTTTGTAATTCTCCTTCTTTCTCAGAACATAAATATTACATATTGCCCTACAGATTACCAGGTATGTTCGTTAACAAGTAGTTTGGTTTCACCTGTTTAAATAATCGTTAAACAAACTAGCCAGCACATATTGCTCATCTTGCTGTAAAGAATTATGTGTAGGTATTTATAAACAGGAATTAATTTGACGAGGATTCGTCGGAATACACGGGTGTGGTTTGTAAAAACAATTTATTCAAGCTTTCGATGCTGATTCATAGGAATTAATTAATTAATTAACTATGTTAGTAACACCTTTGGTCGTAATTATAATTATTATTAGGTTGTATAAACAACTTGAATTCGAAGACACGTAAAACAGTAATTTTTTACATGTATGTACATACATATGTTCAACGTTAAATGACACCGATTTTATTTTTATTGGGTAAATACATACGCACCAAGTCCTGAATCGCGCATGATTTATAACCCGCACGTTTTATTGTAGCAATTTAAAGCCGAAGTTCTGCTTCCACATATGTACGCATTGACCGCGGAAGCAAGAGGACAGCTCGACATTTTGAAGCTTTAGTAAATAAAAGTACCCAGATTTATTTGCACACATTTTAATATTTAAAGTAGTAGCGCAGTAACTAATAGATCCATTCTGTTCTGTCAAGTAGTAAGGGATGACACCTTCGTAAAATACGTGTCAATTCCCTTCGTCAGTTTCGAGGGTTGGCAAGATTTCAAGAATCGATTCGACCAGGCCGATAATTTCCTTTGTTTCATGGCAGCCAAAAAAAGTACGGATTTTTCAAATGGATCCGACCAGAGGCGTTCCTTAGATTGGAACGGCCTGGAGCACATATTGAGTCCGGCCATTTTAAAATATCGAGTCGTTAAGACATTGTATGTATCTTGCATCAAAGTGTGTCGTAAAATTAGGTGTCATCTATCTTTCTATATCCACCTTTCAAACGGACCTCGAGCGGAGTAAAAATGCAATGAATCAGTAAAAATGATTTACATGAAATAATGTTCGGCTTATTTTAATTTCTTTATCATTAATTGTAATTATAATTTGTAACGCAGCTCATTCAGTTACTATTTTTTGTGATAATTCCACTGATTGGGTCCCTTACGATCAGTACTGGAACCTTGAAAAAGGTACCGAGGGAGATCCTGGATCTCCCTCGATACGTTAAACCTAGAAAAAGTAAATGTCGAAACAAGATGCAGAGTATGACATTGCATTATGTTTAGATACATATGTCCCAATTTTCAGAAAGAAAGTGTTCAAATCTAACACTCAATTGCATAAGACAATCCCTCAAAATCACAAAAGATTTTATACACATCGCGGAGACAGAATGTGTCTTTCGAGAAACGACGATTATCTTCGTCTTGCACAATGACCACAATTTTACTGGGCAACTAGTATTCCTCCAGAATTAAATGTTTTCAAAAATACAATTCTCTTCGCTCGAATCAACGAATTAAAGGTTAGCACTTAGGATGGAATTTTGACGCGAAGCGGCAGATTCTTTGATTTCTATTAAATTACTCCTTCACATGACTTCGGAATTTCACTACAATGTGAACCAAACCGGAGTGTTTCTTCAAAGCAACTGTAAAGTGTTGCCCAAAGTTTCTCTGCCCAGTTTTTGCTAAAGTTTTTCATGCCAAAAATCCATACTGGATACTATGTATTTACAGTAAATAGAACCTCGAACTAAATTCCGTCCAATTAGCCAGAAATCATGTGCTAGCCTTACATATTGGGCGTCCAAAATCGGAAGTTTTCAGAAGACCGGCTTTCCGAGTATTTGGATTTTTGAAATTGTGGTAGAACCGACTTTCTATTAATTGAAGTTTGGAAAATCGTAGGAAACCGGTGTCGGATGTTTTGCGCCACCAGGTTTAAAATAGACTTCTAAAATAGGTTCTATTGTAAATTGTAAAAAGTTGGCAAATATAATAATCAAAGAATGCAAAAATTAAAATTAAATGTAAGCTTAAGGGATTACAGCACAACTAATTCGTATCTCAATTCGAAGCATAGCTAGCTCTTAAAAAAGCTTATTTTATTAAACACCTAAAACCGGTGTTGGAGTTTTTCGGAAAATTGTAAAACCGATTTTTAGCATCTTCTATTGGAAAACCCAATTTTGGATTCCTTACTTACAAACCCCTCGAGACTCATTTGCCAATCACGGAGTTCAATCTCATTTCTTGAAATCAAATGTTACACAAGATTATGAATTCGTGAAGGTACGCCTGAAACTGTAATCCTGTATTTTGTATGACACATATCAAAGTTGTCATTAGCTAAAGGTCTATCTTCGTAAAAACAGATTCGGGCTTAAAATTGTTAAATTGTTGACTATGAACATCCGGCCTCGTAAATGAAGCACGTCTGCCATACACTTTTCGACACTTAATATGCATTAATTTTGCGGCGTGTGATAGGACAATTATATCTAGTGTATAGGGCGTGCCGGTACGGCCTGGAGCCAGCGCTCCACCTAGAAGCATCGTCGGTACGGGCCTGGATCCGACACTAATTTAATTCCCTGAATGACTACAAGTAAATCGCCTAATGTTAACCCTGTTACGCTTTGACGGGGTTAGGTTTAGGTATGCATACGCTTAACGCGCCTCTTAAATAATGGTGAAATATCGGGTTACGGGTAAATCATCGTTGGGTAAGGGTAACTCGTAGGCGGCTAGGGTGGTAGTTTGACAACTCGTAGTTGGGTAACTCATGGGAGCCAAAATTATCGTAGAGGGACATTATCGTCGAATCTTGTTCATGAATAGATAAAAATTTCGTAAATTTTATGCGTAAATGTTAAAGGAAATAAATTCTCCTCATTTTCGACCAAACCTTATTCTTCAACTTGTCCACTTCATTTACTTGTCCGTCAACAAGTTGCTCTTCCTTCGACTTGTCCGCTACCAAACTTCCGACGACGATTTACCACCAACCCGAAATATCCCATAAATAATATATGTACAACTCGCTTACATGGAAAACGGAAGGAAATTTTGCACGATCAAACTTAGCAAACTAATTATAAGCACACTCTTGTCAAAAATTTAGCATTTGCAAAAGAAAAAAGCTTGGAACGTTAAAAATAAATGGTAACCAGCCAATTGAAAAGCTTGATAAATCTTACAATTTTTATTTGTATCAAAATTTTGCGTAGTTCATCTCCAATTAAATCACATCTTTTGTTCTTAGGTAATGTAGTTCTTGACAAAAATTTTTATAGATCGACTTAAACTACAAAGAAAAACTAAATTTTCTTGGCATATTTTGAGCATCCTCATTAAAGTGAGTTGATTGATGAATACGTGCGAACTAATTTATACTCGAAATTTTGACATATAAAATCTTGTAGTAGAATAACTAATTTATAAAAACAATGGTAACAATAAAAACCACAAAATTTAAACAAGTTGTTACGGAGGTAAGATACATAGCACCAGGAAAAAAAATAATAAAGTTGTTCTCCAATCAGTAATCTAGATGATAAAAAATCAAACATTTTTAGCTGCTGAACCGGAAATAAGTATTAAAAAATTGAATGTAAAAATAATTTAATTGAGCACACCAGTAAATCACACCCTAAATTTCCTTATCGTCATTGACATCTTCATCATCCAATGATCCGACGGCAACATCGCCTTCCTGTTCCGAGTATGATTCCGCTTTGAGAATATCCGCCATGATCTGGTCCCCGTCTTCCAGCTCGGAATACCGTTTCGAAAATACTTCCGCATACTCGGTCACTTCTTCGAGGGATTTGCGCGGTACAAAGTGAGCAACGCGGGCCATGTCGCTCCGACCGAGGGCACGAACTGCTTTGACAAACGCTTTGTACTCTCCCTTCGCCCATGAACAGAATCCAGTCTAGAAAAAATTGTAGTTTTTTTAGTCTATATTTTTTGTAAACACATTTTTGCGGCGGAAACGTGGGACATTATTCGCATAAACGTTATTCTTTCACACCTTAATAATCCTAAGGTTAGCCATGAAGCATGGAAACAATGTTCACTCAATGTCTGTATCATTTTCCCATTTATTAAACCTTTCCCTCCCATATTCTACATAGGTCCCCACGGTTTCCGCGGTCACTCTTTAATGTAATTAGCTTTTATAGATTTTTTTAGCCTTAAAGTGTCATGGTTCTCAAACCAGTTTTGTAAACTGATATCCATTAACACTCGAATAAAGGTTGACTCGAATTGACTTGACTCTGTCCGTCGCCAATTTAATGTCAAACTCACCCTCTCATGCGTCTTCTCGGAGTGACTCTTCCGTTCCAGGAGAGCGTCCATCTCTTCCTTCTCGCTGGGAGAGAGAGGTTCTGCCTGTTCAATTTTCCGGTGTTCTGCTCTGCGCCTTCTGTCAGCCCCGCTAGGACTCAAAGTTTCATCATCGACAACTTGTACCTGGAGAGAAGAATCAAAACTTTAAAATAAAGTCTGCGTCACACTTCTTAAAGATCGTTCATTACCATGTAATTCTGCGTCTTTCGGTAGTGCAAAGTTTCGCGTTCCATCAGCTCTCGAAGACGGAGGGGACGGAATTGAAAATCTCTCCAGATTGGGAGCGACGGAGGGAGACCGAGGCGTTCCTGGGAAGTATTTTAAGATTTTGTGGTTAATTAATGAGAAACTTGTGTGACTAGCAAGGACATGCGAAGGATAGAGGAGGGAGGGGTTTATAAAATATTGGTAGATGATAGGGACATCGAATAACCGTGGGGACATTGTCCCCTTGTCCTGACGCTTCTGCGTCTACTGGTGAGTAATTCATGACATGACTAGGATTACCTTTGCCGTAAGCGGCTTCGGCGTCTTTGGCGTCTTTTCGGTTTCGTAGTTGACACGCTTCGATACTCTTTTTTCACTTCGGGGGGCAACACTTTCCATGATAATGGCCAGCTCGGCTTTCTTGTAGAGTGGTTTTGGCCTAAGATACAAAAATATGACGGTAAGTCCCTACAACGTTAAAAATAATGTTACCCTTTTGAAAAGTAAATGCACTCTGAATTCGATGTTAAGTAAACTATACCACTGAGACTACTACTACTACTGTCAGTAAGAAAATCCAGAGTGACTTTAACTTAATAACGAATAAAGTTTACTGCCCATAAAATTGTAATTGAGTATTTGAGTATACAAATTGAGTATTTGTATGTATTTAATTACTTGAGGTTGAATATTAAATTACCTGTAATTTTCCCCATCAAAATTCATAATATAATCCTCCTCTTCGTCACTTTCTCCCCCCAGCTTGAGCCCGTCGAGCCCCTTCGAGTCCATACCTGAATCAAGTCTTTCATCTAATTCGTCATTCTTCAACTTGCTTCGGTCCAAAATTGTCTCGATCGTTTCATCCACGACGTCATCGTCCATACTGGACAAAATAATTTTTGATCCGAATCGAACCATTTCCAACATTCCTGCCGCACTGGGACCAGTGTTGGCGTTGACGAGACGACCTGTATAAGAGAATAAGGTTTAAAATCTCATTTTTCAAAATATCTACACAGGTAATTATCACCTTGTTGGATGACCATCTTGTCTAATCTTCTCTTAATCGAGGCCCTCTCAATCATCTTTTCTTCCACGGTGTTCTCCGTGATGAGTCGAAAAACTCGGACCGTTTTGGTCTGTCCGATTCGATGAGCACGATCCTAAATAATTTTCAATTATAATTTTAACGGTAGAGAACACTTTGAAAAATAATGTTACCCTTTTGTAAGTTAAATAAATACACTCTGAATTCTAAATTAAGTAAACTACACTACACCCAGAGTTAACCAGATTAGTTTACTCTGGATTTTGTACAGTTTACTAATTTTTAAGAGTGTTACAGTATTTTTAAAAGTGTAGAAGTCCCCAAGTCACTCACAATAGCTTGAATATCTGCTTGAGGGTTCCAATCGCTATCGAATAAAATTACGACATCCGCCGACGCCAAGTTGATCCCGAGACCACCTGCTCGCGTGGTCAGCATGAAAATGAACGTGGAACTTCCCCCAGAATTAAACTCTTTAATCGTGTCTATACGATCTTCATGGTCCGTACTTCCGTCCAGCCGGTGGAACTGTGGGAAAATAAGAACAAAGTGCCAATTAGTTAAATATGGACAGAAAATGTCCATTAGTAAAAGATGTACATAAAAATGTCAATTAATAAAATATGGACAAACAAATGTCAATTTATGAAATACTGACGGAAAAACCTTAATTAACGAAATATCTACAGAAAAATGTCAACTAAATAAATACGGACAGAAAAATGTTAATGAATGAAATATGGTCACAAAAAATTCCAATTAATATAAATAAATTTAAAAAAATAAAACTAAGGCGAGAGGCGCTATTAAAAACAAGAAACAAGCCCTCCTACCAACACCCCCGTCTCGCCGTGGCCCCATTAATATTTTTATATCTGGGGGTGTAATCACAATTTATTGTTTTGTAATTATTTCCTGCATTATACACAATTTAAAAAACCAATAATATGATATATATGCCAACATGGGTGCATGTCATTTTCATGAAAGTGTCATAAAATTGTCACACAAATGTCGGAAATCAAAATACGAAAGCTTATTTATTTAACTCGTTTACCAGAGAAGCTACTAGCTTCTCTGATTTTTTATGCTTACAAAATTTTTTTACGAACGAAAAAGATGCCTCAACCTTGCGTATATTTACGAAGCTTCGTAAGCATGGAATTTTCGTAGATGTCGTAAATTTACGCTATTTACGACAGTTACGAAGGTGACGTGAAAACCCTCATGGATTCTACTTCACAACTTTTCTCCCTCACCTTGTACTTTTTCCACTCGCAATAATCCTCCAAAATATCTAGCACGATTTTAAACTGACTAAATAACAGGACACGAGAACCCTCCTGCTTCAATTTTGCCAAGAGTTTGTCCAGCACTGCAAGTTTTCCCGACGCCTTGACGAGATGACTGTCCGTCGTGTACGGGGGACCAGGTTCCACCCCGTGGAAAAGGTACGGATGATTCGCACACTTTCTGAGTTGCATGAGAAGATTGTGCAACCGCATTTTCGTCGCGCTTCCAGCCGAATTGATAATTTCAATGTTTCCAATGAGAAGCTTTTTGTACCAGACGCGCTGCAGGGGTGACAGCGGAACGTAAATGTTCTGCTCGTTCTTTGGCGGAATGCCTGTCTCGACGTCGGCCTTGATTCGTCGGAGGAGAAATGGACGGAGAATTGCGTGCAGGCGATCGACGAGGGACGTGTCGCGGAGACATTTCTTGAGATCGAACCAGTCGTCAAAATTCTAGGGTAGAAATTTATCAATTATTAATTTTGATTTCACGGAAGTTTTAGTGGAAAACGAGAAAACTTTTTATTTGGTCAATATTTCGAATGCTATCTGCCACTCATTATCAAGATATGCATAGAAAAAAAACGAAAAATTGTGGTAAAGATTTTTGAAAACATTGGTGCTTAGTTTTTGGAAAGTCAACAGAATTGTTGTCAATTTTGCGGCGACGTGATAAAAATGGAAAGTAATTAATAGCTATTAATGAATTAAACTATAAAAACTTCTCAACTTTTCATCTTACTTCAGACGAATTGAATACTTTCGGCAACAAAAAGTTGAGCAGGGCCCACAACTCGTGGAGATTATTTTGCAGCGGGGTTCCCGTCAAGAGGAGACGATTTTTGGACTTAAATTCCCTTACGTACTCGGACAACAAAGATTTCTCGTTTTTAATCCGATGAGCCTCGTCGATGACGAGGTAGTGCCAATTAATCTTTCTTAGCGTTCCTCGCTCCCTCAGCACCATTTCGTAAGAGGTCACTAGCACGTCCCAGGTCGACATTTGGGTCAGTTTGTTGCGGATGAGGTCATTCTAGAGAAATTCAAATAGAAATTTGCTTATCAAATTGGGAGGAGGAAATGAGTAAAGTGTTTTTACCCTTTCATCCTTTGTTCCGATAAGGCAGACAGTTCTTATCACAGGACACCAACGTTCAAACTCGGCCGTCCAGTTTCCTAACGTTGATTTTGGAACGATCACCAAGTAATGGCCAGAAATATTCAGATCCAATTTTAAATAGCTATAAAAAACGGAGAATTATACACAAGAAGTTAACTAACATGGAAAAAAACATTGCAAATTATGCGTAAAAATTAAATAACTGAAAATCTGCAAATTATACTATAACTGTGATCTTATCTTATTTTGCAAATATATATTTACCCAATGAGTGCGATAGTTTGCAGCGTTTTTCCTAAGCCCATTTCATCCGCTAGTATTCCATTAATCCCATTATTGTAGAGATTAATCATCCAGTTTAGCCCCTTGACTTGATAGTCCCTCATAGCTCCGTTGCAAATAAAGGGGGGCGACGTAGTGAACCTTATCGGTTCCTTGACAGCTTTCGATACAACTTTTTTGGGCGGAGTATCATCCTCTTCGGAACTATCTTCTGATTCGTTTTCAGGCCTGAAATGAAATTTTAGCGAAATAAATAAAATTTAGAGGCAAAATTCCATTAGTAATTTTTTAAACAAGTCAACGCGGCATTAACAAATTCCGAGTGGTTAACAAAACTTTGCATTAATTTCAAAATTCTGAATTGGCTACAGGACATATCAGGAATCCGTTGCAACATAAACATAAACTCCTTACTCATATTCTAATTTAGATTTCGTTCAAATTTTGTTGCAAAATGTTCCAACTGCGGTCCCAAAACTTACGGCTATAGCCGGTTACTAACAACATTCCTAGTGGGTTTAACGATTGGGAATAAGGTACGGATTGCATCTAGCGATTCCGCTAGATCAATAGACCTATGGATTAGCTTAAAATGCTAACCAACATTACATAATTCGATCGTGGCATCCTAATACGGAAAATGCAATTATTTTGCAAAATTCAACATATAAGAAAATTTGGGTCCGAAATCGAGGCAGCGGCCAAATTCTAGTATAAAATAATTTTTAAAATTATTTCCCGCGATATTTGACCAAAAGTTGAACTAGTTTGAGTCAAAATCCAAAATTTGCAAAAAATTCGCACATTTTGGCTCAGATCTCGAAAACCACCAATCTACGCCCCCAATATTATTACAGATTCTTCATGTACACAAAATTACGAAAATTTTAAGCTATTAAACTTGAAAATCGTCCGAGGGCGAAAAAACACTATTTCATTGTATATATCTATCTTAACAATTCACGCAGTGCGTTGCAAAATTGTAAAATCCTGTAAACCTTTACAAATATTTCTACGGAAAATAAGTTTACAGATTTTTATTTTTTGTAATAGATCAAGAGCATCTTTTTATTTCGTAAAAATTTGTAAAATTACTTCGCAGAATTTTACTCAGGACTGTGTTACTTAGTTCATTAATTTTTCGAACTACTTACTTATCTGGTTCAGATAACCGCGACCTTTTTGCCGAACTTGGGCCAGCCTTAGGAGATTTGCTTCCTCCTCCTCCTCCTCCAGCACCACCACCCTCCGCAAAGACCGCTTTGGCATAAAACTCTGACCGTTTCAACAAATACTCGAGGCGACGATCCTCATTAGCCGTCTAAATAGTAAATGAACAATTAATTATATTCAATCCTACCCTTAAATTAATAAAATTATTTGAAATTAGTCGAGTAGTTTCTTACACTAGCGTTTTCCTCAGTTTCATCTGCTTCAACTAAAAAACGGAGATTTCTCTTGTCCACTCTCTTAATCCGGGGGGTAACTGCACCGTCTGGAGGAACAATATTTTCCTGGTTATCTACCAGCTGAAAAATTACGTACAAACGGCATTAATTAATTATTATTACTTTACGGTACTGATTTTCTAATGAGAAATAATCTCATTAGTTAATTATTTTCCATATTTTTTAAGGAAATTTAGTTACCAATTGGGACATCGCTGTCTCGTCTGTCATATCGAAACTAATTTCCTCCTCCAACTTTACCGGATTGGCAATGTTTTCCTCCATCTCGACCTTGACCTCGTCTGACCCTGCTTTTTGTTCTCCCAACGTCTTCAGGCTTATCGAGCTCGATATCACCTCTGAATCTGCGCAAGTTTCCGTCTTCCCGTGGTCCTCCATGGGTGACACTGGAATGTGTGAAAATTAATAATTTGCGAAATTATTTGCAGAATCACGACAAGAGGAAGAGTGAAGAAAGAGAGAAGATTATCTCGTGAGCCGAGTGAACAAAGCAGAAGACAGATGACCGGTTTCGCTCATTCGTTTCGCATTTCCCTCACGGATTGGCTGCCGGGATGAAGTGAGACGAAAATATACATAAGGGGCCGTACATAAAGAATATGATCGATTGTAGGAGACTTTTTACCCCTGGTGTGACCTATATTGTGATTAAAATGGGATGGCGAAGTGAAATTTGTAAAATTTTTATGGTCACCTTAGGGCGTGACCTGTATACCGATATTTAGAAGTTTTCTTAAGAAGATGAACTTTCGTACGGTGATATTTAAAATAATGGCTTATTGGGTATGAAGTTAATAAGAGTATTAATAAGAGTATGAATGGGCAGAATGACCTTAGAGGGTGAACCGTACCGTTCTTAAAAGTCGCTATTTTCTGCTAAAATTTGGTATGGTTAAAACTCTGAAACTTGAAGATTCGAAAGAAGTCCACTGGTTCTGGCAAAGTGGCAAGGGTAAGGATTTGCAGCTAAATCACAAATTTGGTACGAAATGCTGGAAAATGTTTGGCAAGCATATATCGATAAGTTGACCTGAATTTGTTCAACGGTACCTGGTAATTATATACATTAGTGATGATGCACAACCACTACTTGAACAGGGTATAAAATACTGGTAACAAATAGCTCAGAACTGCATGTCTAACGCATAAATCTGTTACGTAACGTGATGAGGACGTAAAATGCGTAAATTTATATGTAACTCATCAATTGCGCTGGTTTAAATCATGCCAAAACGGAAGAAAAAGAACATCATTACCAATTTTGAGTGCATTTTATAACTCGGTTTTTTATTAACGGTACAAATATTCGGAGTCATACATAAGTAAAAATATGTAGTCGGCCTTTTTTCGGATACCCGGACCTGCCCGGTTATTCTAAAGTACCCGGTGTCTAAAGGTTATTTCCTCTTCTAGTAAATATTTGTAACTGAAGTGGAACCTCCTCTACATTTTCTAGCCGGAACGGGATGACGTTCAATCTATGAAATGAACATTCATTATTAAAATATTTTTTAATTCATTGTAGGCAATTATTTCACAATCTTTTGCTTAATCTCGCCTTTGTTTTTAGTTGTTTGTGAATTTCTACATATGGCAGGCGTAGAAATACCGTTACTTATCGTATATTAAGTCGGAAAAATGATCTTATGCAAGAATAAAATTAAAGAGGTTGCGGAAAATCATGCAAAATATCATGACCGCAGTGCAGGTACGATCTGTGTATCGTACAAAGTCGTGCACAATCATGCAAATATCTATCGTGCAAAATATCTTTTTTCTTGAAAGCAAAAAAAAATTATTCATGAACGCCGCAAACGCACACAATGACAGAAGGACTTAAGCTGAGGAATACACAATTAAAGCAAAGAAAAGGCTAAAAACACACGTACATAGCTTACATACGTAATGTATGTACGTTGCAGCAAAATTTTTCAAAATTAGTTACCTATTCTCCGCAATGTGATCGAGAATATTTGGGACATTCTCCGTTTCCCTGATAGCCGAGGGTGATCGAGATGGCGTTGTTTTTAACGTGACTAACTTAAGGACAGCCTCGCGTCTCCATTCTGTGGAAAAATTAAAAAGAGACATGCAAAAAAATATTTCAGGAATGATTTCATATTGACGGAACAATATTGAAATGTAGGTACATAATTACTTATGTTGAGTGTATATACATATTCATGATTCGTTAGTGTTCTTCGTATCGCAAAATAAGTTACGAGATTTTGCAAGCATTGTAAGATTTTGTCAGCAAAAAGTGCGTTACTACGGTTACGATTTTTACGAAGCTTGTTTTTTTCGGAAACTATTTTGCAATATTAAGGATATGAAGAAATATGAATACCATCATTATTTACGAAGAATTGTAATCTTGGTTACGCGATTTTTAATGATAAAGCTTACAAAATTTCGTAACCGTGGTAACTTACGCATTTTACGATACCAGCATTCTTCAATACCAGTATTCTTCATGTAATGTTCATACGCTCTTCATTATTACTTCATTATTACTTACAAAAAAAACTTACCATCCATTCGACCCCATTTAACGCGTGGTACGTCATCAGGCGATTTCATTGCTCTCTTAAAGCAATTATTCAGAGCTTTTTTGTGTTTTATATATTCCCTTCGTCCAATTACATTTGCCTCGGCTTCACGCACCTGTTCGAGAGCTGGTTTAAGATCACGCCGAAACTGGGCCACGTCGTTTTCCAATTTTTCTATTTTTGCTTTCTCCTGAGTAAGACATCCTGTAAAAATAGGAAAATAAATAATTGTGAAGAATTAGTTAGAATTTTGGATATCGTGAATTTCTTTGCATGGAAAAATTATGTACTTATAAACCGGGCTTGCTACTGAAAATTACTTTTATTAAATAAATTGAGGGTTTGCACAACCTCCTGTAACTGTGAATTCGTAAAAAAATACTGATAACTTTACGTCATTTACGAAATATTGACGTGAAAGGCCCTCCGTAATAAAATATTTCGTGAAAATTATTTTTAATTTCCTTTCTCTAATATCATCGGTAGCTGTGGTGTTCGAAATATCATGTTTTTTTTTGTTTTTATGAATTTTTCTATGTATAAAGACGCCTCAACCTTTCGCATACTTACGAAGCTTCATAAGCATAAAATTTTCGTAGATGTAGTAAATTTAGGTACGCTATTTACGACGTTTACAGTCAAGAGCAAAACTTTACGACATATGGAAGAGACTTTTGGGACATGTTATTCAAATGGGGAATTAAAGGCCGTAAAGTTTTGCACCTCGTACCTTTCCGAATAATTTCTTTAACGCTGTGATATAATATTTATTGAATAAAGCGTGCAAAAGTAGGGGGTGACGTGGTAAATTATTTTTGTCGCCGAATTTTTTTCAAGGAACTACAAGGAATTGAAAGAATTAATTTTGGAAGAGACTTTTGGGACAGCCATAAGCACAATGTGTTGTCCCAAAAGTCTCTTCCAAAATTAATTCTTTCAATTCCTTGTAGTTCCTTGAAAAAAAGTCGGCGACAAAAATAATTTACCACGTCACCCCCTACTTTTGCACGCTTTATTCAATAAATATTATATCACAGCGTTAAAAAAATTATTCGGAAAGGTACGCGGTGCAAAACTTTACGGCCTTTAATTCCCCATTTGAATAACATGTCCCAAAAGTCTCTTCCATATGTCGTAAAGTTTTGCTCTTGACTGTACGACTGGTTTCCGTTAAAAAAATGCTGGTTTACGTACCTCTGCGGACATCTAGGTCCGATTCAGATCCTGATGGTGATGAAGGATTTTCCAACGCCTGCATTTTTATTAAAAATGTAATTACGTAACGTAATTTGTAGCGTTTTCTTAAGTAGAGAGGCAAGATCTTACAAAGCGTGCTCTTAAAAAGAAGTCTAAGGACAGACTGGGCCTACCTTTCCAAAATTAACGACAAGTTTCCCAGCAGGATCTAAAAATATATATTTCCATTCCAAGAAGTGGCTTATTTAAACAGGTACACAGACTCTGGATTCCAGACCCACCAAGGGTGCAAATAAAATCACAGTACCGATAGTCTCCAAAAACGTGTCTCCCTAAAAAAAATATTATTTGTAAATCATATCCATAATGTAATAACATGAAATTTTTTTGATTTTTTAAATAACAGCAAAATCTGTTTGACGAATTTTGTGCGAACTCCCTAAAATTCTATCTTAAATGCATGTATGCCATAAAGGGTGACGGCCTGTACTTTTCCATGCCTTACATGGGAAGGGAACCGTACATCCTACTGCCCGATCTAATTTTACATGAAAATATGAACATGAAAAATGGAACGTATATAAACAATAAGTGGAACATGCTTTAAAGCATGTTGCATAAATACGTAAATATGTATTTATGTATGTACATGGAGAGTCAATGACCCTGTTAAACTCATTTGAACATACTTCCACATTAAAATTTAAAAAAATATGTATGTCTAAATTACTCTAAATACAGTAGTTCTCGTTGTTACCGTTCCGGAGAAGTCATACAAATACATACATACATAAATAGGTATGTACATATCCAGGCAGTAATAAGTTAATACTGGTTTTCTAAGAGGTGATATCTCTCAGCAAGATATGCAAATGAGTTGACCCACAACAATAATTCTTCTCTACTTAATTAAATGACTGGACTATATATGTATGTAGATATTATTTACCGTTGCAAAACATACATATGTATCCATACGCGAGTCTAATAACTGATTAAATTTTGGTAAAATAAGTTCATTTCATACGCCCACTCTACATATTTTCTACGCATTTACACACAATCCTCTACCCTACCTTGAAATTCCGTCTTGACCCCCGATCCGATACTGACGTTTATTGCCACGGTCAATTGCCAGATAAATTGTTGCTAGATATTTAAATACTCAACACGCTGAGGTATCGCCATAAGCACAGCATAAATATATCAAATTGATAATCAAAATATGAAACACACCCCGATTGTTTTAGTTATCATGTACATATTTTACTTCTTAAGTTTGAGTTACGTAACCTTACAATTTTTGGCTCATAATTTAATACATATTTATTTAGTGAGCAATTAAAAACAAAACCAGAATTAGCTACAAATTTTGGAACGAAGTGACACCTCACGTAGTCCTTGTTAACTTTATAAGTTTTGTAAACATAATTTTATGAACTTTTACAAAATAAAAGACGCTTTGATTGATCTGAGTAAGTTTGCAAAAATTTGTAAGCCAATTGGCGTTCGAAAAATTTGCAAGTTTACCGAATTTACGGATTTTGCAGTGTTATTTTGCGTGAATTGCCTCATATCTAGTTCAGCTTCACACAAATCATTTTAACCTTAACAGGGTCAACGACATTGTCTGATTAATGCAAAAGTTTTGAATGACTAGCGGCGTTCCGCGATCCATGTAGTTCGAGCCGAACCTAACTTTAAGTGGATAACAGGCTTTAATCTGTCTCCGGTAGAGGCCCTTGTTCATCTGCATCCGCTCTGTTAACGGGTTACCCAGCGATTTTACTACTTTCAGAGACGCGCTGTTCACCCAGGACGCAAAGGTGACGACGAGAACGTTACAGATGGCGCAGTCCAGTCCCATGAGGGGAAAAACGAGAAAGCCCGGCATCCGGATCTCGTCCCGGAGATTGATGCAGACAAACATCCCGATGATTTGGATGGATGGCACGCACGAGATGATGGCTGGCACGATACGCCCCGCAAGACACGAGTTGAACGACTTGTCCAAAATTTGAACGGATCGATAGAAATGCAGGGCCCGATCGAGGCCTAGGGTCGATCGGATTTTAGCGATTTCACTACAAATAAAGTCAAGTATATAAAGTATATTCTTGTATTAATTGTATTCTTAGATGTGTTTTTTAAGGTAGACCGTGTTTGTGATGCAAGGCCGGATAAAAAACCGGTCTGATCCGAATGATCGGATATTGTCGGATCGGAACTACCTGCCCTACTGTGAAGCATGCCTATTCACTTTCATTCCTTTGACTGATTATGATAGAAAATAATCGTGAATGAAAATGAATTTCCTAAGATTTGAGTGAAAATGACTTCAGGATTCCGTCATATAAAATGCATGATTGAATGGAAGGATTTTTCACTCATTTGATTTTATGCTTGGGACAGAGTAAGGAATGAATTCTTAGGAAGTGAAATGAAATGAAATGAATTTTAAAGAAAATGACTGAAAGCGAATGAAAATCTTCGGTCAGAAACTGCAATGTCTAACATTTTAATGAAAACTGAATTTTTGAACAGGTATGCTGTGAAGCGTGCAATATTTCTGTACATACTTACCCCTCCAAGACGTCAAGATACCCCAATATACACACGACCCCGGAAAAGAAGACGTGTAGGATGAGTAGTGCCGCCGAGTATATCATATGTAGACAAGTACACGCCTCAAAGATTTGAATCGGCCATCTAACTCGCCATTCGATCGTTTTGCAGGATGCGAACATGGACAAGATGAAGGGCGGCGTGCAGGGCTCATAGATCAGCAGTAGCATCATGAAAACAGGAACACTCGGACAGGACACTTCCACCAAAAGGATGAAGATTTTCATCGCTTTGGCCAACGTGGAAATTTGTATGGGTCCTCCGGAGTAGGCTAATTTTCAAAAAGTTAAACTGCATGAATATTTTCTGGAAAAATTATCTACTCGAATAAAATTTTGATGCAGTAAATACTGAGGCAATTCACGCAGTGGTTGGTATATAAAGGTGTTACCGATTGGTATTATGTAAAATAATACGTTATACCGGCCCGTAACAACTTGTTACCGATATGGTAAAACTTTAAGACCGGCCAATTACTACACGATATTATCTACTTATCAATCCAGGCAATGCCAGAGTTATATATGAATACCGCTTGGTAATGTTTTAATACTGGATTTCTAAGTTTATACAAAATTTGTCTAATATTTCCAAAGAAATTTAGTTCACAAATTTTTATAAACTTACTCAGATCAAGGGCATCTTTTCATTTTAAATAGTAAAAATAGTAAAAATTATTTTACTGTACGCACGGATTTTACAAGTTACCAATGACTGCGTGAATTTTCTTCAGTATTTTAAAGTTTAGCTACATATTTTTTTGAAATTCATTTTTTTGCTACATATATAAATTTGTAATATCTTTAATTATTTATTACCAGTGACCGTATTTTTTTCAAACTCGAGTAAAGAGTTGATCACTTGAATTCCAGCGTTGTCCAAGGAATAATTCCACCGAATTAGTCCGGCTAGCACGTAAATGAAGAAAAATGCTGCCCCTTGATATTTCCGAGCTACCGTGAGCGAACCGAAGCAAAAGTTCGCAGCCATTCCGAACACACAGAGAAGCGACAGGATACATTGGATTCGGAAGATTTTAGCATGCCGAGAACTTTGTGTCTTCATGAGGCGACCAAGTTTCGGGTTGAATTCGAACGGGAAACATTTCAGGAGTTGGCAAATTTTTAAGTGAAATTTCAAAATGGGGAGAAATGTCGTTTCGTACATTTTGGTTATATGCTGATTAAAGAAATATTCATTGGTAATGCGAGGACTAAGAGAGAAATGGTTACGAAATGTTGTATTTTGATTGATTAGTTATCATTCGTGGATAAACTAACTTTCTTCGCGTGTACAGTTATCGTGTTAATTAGCACAGTAAGAAATATCAAGTTTACCAGGGGTATGTATGAATGTGAAAATACGCAGTTTGATATTTACTCAAGTCTATAATCAATAAAATTCGGTTATTCATTACAAGTTTAAAAGACTAAGTTGGCAAAAACATTGGAATGCTATGAATTTGGAAATCATAGTCAGAAGGTTACCCTGTTTTCTTAGAGTGTATGTATGTAGGCGTGGAGCAAGTCAATCAATTTGGACTGATAGAAATCAGCCAAATACATATTACCAACGAGTTCTTCATAACGCTTTATAAATAATTAATTATGTACATTAAGAAATATAATCAAATCTCTGATCTTGCTTAATCGGTAGTTAGGAATGACCATTGTAAATATATTTTGTATACACTCCTTGCACGTTTTGAATACAGGTTACGTTGGTATGTTTGAATGTGTAATACACAGTGACGGCTTAAGCAAGAGGACAAGGGGACATTGTCCCCACATAAATTCATAACAATTCTATCTGTACTATGTTAATTAGCCCTCGTCTTTATACACATCTCACAATGCTAATGTCCCCCCAACTTCCGCCGCCACTGGTAATACATATACATCATCTTTATACTGAAATGCACGTCGATAATTCGATATATGTATGCTTACAAAGAGTGAAAAGGAATTATCGGATAATTTCCTTTGTTTCATAGTAGCCAAAAATACGGATTTTTCAAATGGCTCCGGCACTAATTTAGTTCCAAGTTGAATTACAATTACTTATGCACATGTATTTAGCAACTTCATATGCAAATTTCTAACTCATGAGTCGCGCTGGTTTAAATCACGCCAAGACCGAAGAAAAAGATCACCATAAACAATTTCGAGTACATTTTACAACTTGTTTTTTTATTAAGCACATAAAAAAGCTACAAGTTACTGGCATGATGCATACATAGATGGATACATATAGTCGGCCTCTTTTTGGGATCCCTGGACCTGCCCGGTTATTCGAAAGTGGTCGGTTTAAAGGTTTTGTTCCTCCTCCAGTAAATGAAATGGAGCCTCCTATTTTGGCTGGAACTGGATGACGTTGAATCTATGAAATACATAAACATTCATTATTAAAATATTATTCAATTCATTGTTGCCAATTACTTCACAAGCTTTTAATCTCGTCTTTGTTTTTAGGAATCATATGCAAAGAAATACGGTTATTAATCGAGTTTAAGCCGAAAAGTGATTTTATACAGAAATAAAATTAATGAGATTGCGTTAAATCGTGCAAAATATACTGTTTATAAATATGTATTTCGAAAAAAAAATTTTACGACTTGATATCAATTTAATTAATAATTAAACTAAAATTAAGTCATATCAGTCATGCAAGTAAAAAGTCGACCACCAAATTGTTCATGAGTAATCATGAGCGTCGGAAGGGCTCACAGTGTCAGGAGGACTTATATATATATGCAGTAGATGAGCTAAATATGCATGTACATATATGTACATACTCTGAAAACCCGGTGTTGTTTTTCACCGAACAGTATGCATATTTGACTTCACCAAATTGTGACTTAAAATTAAATGACGAAAAATGTGACGAAAAATCTTATCCGCATCGTGACTGGCTGGTTTTAATTTTGTCACGATTAAGTCACAAACATTATCACCGCACGGTGAAATCGTATATGCAAACGATTAACACCGGGTTCTTAATAGTGTACATACATACATGCGTAAGTAGTTAAAGCAAATTAAAAGCAAAAGACATGCATACATATGTATGTACCCAACTTTATGCACGTTGCAAGCAAAATTTTCCAAAATTAGTTACCTCTTCGCCACGATTGGAGCCTTGACAATTACGACAATGCTGTTTCCCACGATAACAGATACTGGAATAGATGCTGGCGTTGAAGTTGATGAGGCAAACTGAAGTACAGACTTGCGTCCCCAATCTGTGGAAAGTAGGAAAGATTAGACAAACAGATATTTGATTATGCCAAATCGACGGGATGGAATCCAATATTGAAATTCACAGATAAGTAATTATTGATGGTCATTATTTAGTAAACTAAACTAAGACGGTTGGGATATTTTGTCATTGAAAATTACGTAAAATGCATACTTTGCGAAGAAAATTAAGGGCAATAAAGCTCCGCAAAAATCGTACGTAATTTTCGATGACAAAATCTAATAACTTATTTAACAATACGAAAAATAATAAGAAAACGAAGGAATTATGAATACCCTAAATAAAGATTTACAAAAAAACCTTACCAATTACTCGACGCCGTTTCCTGGGTAGCTCGTCATCATTCAATTCTATTCCCCTCTTCACGCTATTTGTCAGAATTTGCATGCTTTTGATCTGGTCCTTTCGTGCAGTTATGTGTGCCTCGATTTCACGCACACGTTCGAGAGCTGGTTGAAGATCACGCTCGTACTGGGCCACCTCATTTTCCAACTTTCTCATTTTTTCTTCTTCCTGGGCAAGAAATCCTGTAAAAATGGAGAAACGAAATGGTAAAAATTATGAAGAATTATTTTGCATTTATATTTCGTGAACTGGAAAAATTAATTGCTTTGGGAAATTATTTCATTTAATTTCTACAAGATAGGGGCTTATTTTATGTATTAAATTATTTAATTGAGGGTTTTCACGACTTTTGTAATCATGCAACAAAAATACTCGTAAATTTACATCATTTACAACGTGTCGACGTGAAAAACCCTTCGTTAAAAAATATTTCATTAAAATTCTTTCTATTTTTCCTTGTCTAATATCATCGTTAACTGTGGTGTTCGAAAAATCATGATTTTTTTATATTTTCGAAATTTTAAATACATAAAAAAATGCCTGCACCTTGGGTATATTTACGAAGCTTCGTAACCTTGGAATTTTCGTAGATTTTCGTAAAAGAAAAACCCGATTTTCCAAGTTAAAAAAACCCAGCTCACCTTTGCAGACATCGACGCCCGATTCAGATCCTGATGGTGATGAAGAAGAATCCGGTGACTGCATTTTAATTAAGAATGTATGTATGTACTAACGGAATATGTGTAAGTAAATTAATTTGCTTCGTATTCTTGGGTAGTGACAATTTTTTGTGGGAAGATTTTGCAAAACGTGTTCTAAAACAGAAGGCTAACGACGGAATGAGCCGACCTTTCAAAAATTAATAACAAGTTCTCCAGCGGTTTCTAAATTTACATTTCCATTCCAAGAAGGGTACGGATTTAAATAGGTTTCCAGACTCTGGAAATAGTGAAAAGGAATTATCGGATAATTTCCTTTGTTATGTATCAAATCACGTTACCTAAATCTGTTACCTAATCTGTCGTACTGTTAATGACGAAATTATAATTTTTACATAAATCCTAGTTAATATTTTCATAATGTAAAACTTGACATATTTTAAATTAAAAAAACTACAGCAAACTTGGTTTGACTAATTATGTATGTGCACGCTCCTAAATTCAATCTTAAATGCATTGTATGGAGCTAGTGGTCTCAACGGTGCGGTTCGGTTCGGTTCTTGGAAGAACCGGTTTAGAACCGAGAACCAGAATTGAAGAACCGAAACAGAACCGAACTTTTTTTAGTTGGAACCGAACCGGAACCGGACCAAACCGTGACCGAACCGGCGGTTCGGGTCAAACCGGTAGTGTTATTAATATGCAATAAACAACAAACAATGCTAATTGACGTTTTTCTGATGAAATTTCACATATAAGCCAATAACTTATCTGTATTTAAACAAGCAAATTCTAATACATGTCAACAGCAAAACCACTTATGTATATATTATTGAAGTTAGAAAACAATTCCAAGTTTGGGGTGCAACCAAGTCAAAATTGCATTTTGGAAACATTGGGGGTGTGACCAAGTAAAAATTTCATTTTGGAAACATTGGGGGTGTAACCAAGTCAAAATTTCATTTTGGAAACATTTGGGGTGTGACCAAGTAAAAATTTCATTTTGGAAACATTTGGGGTGTGACCAAGTAAAAATTTCATTTTGGAAACATTGGGGGTGTAACCAAGTCAAAATTTCATTTTGGAAACTTTGGGGTGTGACCAAGTAAAGATTTCATTTTAGAAACTTTTGGGGGTAAAAATTTCGTTTAGGAAACTTTGGGGGTGAAAATTTCATTTTGGAAACTTTGGAGGTGTCATCAAGTCAAAATTTGGTTTTGGAAACATTGGGGATGTAACCAGGTCAAAATTTCGTTTTGGAAACATTGGGGGTGTGACCAAATAAAAGTTTCATTTTGGGAACTTTGGGCGTGTCATCAAGTCAAAATTTGGTTTTGGAAACATTGGGGGTGTGACCAAGTCAAAGTTTCATTTTGGGAACTTTGGCAGTGGGGCCACGTCAAAATTTCATTTTGGAAACTATGTGTATTTCGGGAAATTCGTAAAACTTTTTCGAAAATATGATTAACTTCGCTAATGTATTTATGTATGAAGTTCGGTTCAACCCGAACCGGCCGGTTCGGTTCGGTTCTCAAAGACTTGGAACCGGAACCGAACCGGTAATAAAAGTTTCGGTTCGGTTCGGTTCTCCGTATAAACCGGAACCGAACCGAGCCATCGGTTCCGGTTCGGTTCTATGAGAACCGAGAACCGTTGAGATCTCTATATGGAGCCCTTAAAGGGTGACGCCTGTTTGTATCTTTTCATCCCTTTTGTAATTTTTCCAGAGCTTTTAGCATTGGCTAATAGCCTTCGACATGACATGATGAAATGAAGTTTATATGCAGGATAATAAATTGCATACTAAATATAGCGTCAATACATAATTTCATGATGATAACCATTATGTAAAAAGTGATATCAAAATTTGTATTTTTTTTAAATTGAAGAAATTTACAAAATCTCCAACTATTTGCCATTCAAATTTAGTATTTTTTTTAAAATTTAAGTACATACCAGCTTTCTAACAGATTAGAAATACGCTTCCCTTCTAAGGCATGGAAAAGTGCTGGCTATCTGGATTTGGGGATACTTGCATATGCACATATTTAAGTACATACATACGTACAGTTCTTGGAATGGGTACTGACACTGCTAGAAAACTTGTCACTAATTTTAGAAAGGTCGGCTCAGTCTGACTTGATCCCTCTTTTTTAGAGCACGCATTGTAAAATTTCATCTTTAAAAATAATACGACTACTTACGAAGCAAACTACTAAATATTCCCATCGTGCATATTAATAAAAATGCAGTCACTGGAATCTCCCGGGTCACCAATATCCGAAACTGGATCTGTATCAGACCTCGAAGTTTGTAAAGGTAAGCGGACATGTTTTTACCGGAAATAACTTATATTTAATCAAACCACCCCAAATTTTGTCAAAAAATTAAGAAATTTATTTTCCAAAATAATCGAAATCCAAATTCCAATTCAACTCAAAATTCATATGAATTTGTTGTTGCTGTCGCCTGTTTTTACAGAGTTTCTTCGAGAGGAAAAAGAAAAACTGGACGTATTGGAAGCTGAAGTGGTCCAATACAAACGTAACCTGGAACCAGCTCTCCAACGCGTGCGTGAAATCGAGGAAAATATTTCTATTCGAGAGAACCAGATCAAAAAAATTAAAATCCTGAGAGCTCATATGAAGAGAGGTATGCAATTGAATGAGAGCGGGTTGCCAGCAAAACGGCGTCGAATTATTGGAAGGCTTTTTTTTTCGTAAATTATTACATTTTAATAGTGGATTCTGTCCCGTCGACATGAACACTAAATAATTGGAGACAAATCGTCGCCGCTCGGAGGTACTCAACCTTTTATGTAGGTAATGATTAAGGAGACATTTTGTGACCAGCAGGAAGCAAGTCAAAAACTTGTGTACCAAACAAACTAGTCTTTACTTAGAAAAAATTTGACATTTTTATTATCTGCACAGAAAATATTTTCACATGATTGTACTGATTTGTTTTACATCATGGTGACAAAACTATTCCGTAATCATTACCCAAAAATAGAGTATAATACCGCTGCGGGGGTAACGATTTATCTCCAAAATATTTTTGTGAAATATGTATTAAAACTTTGTCTTTCTTGTAAATTTTTCATAAATAGCTGAACCTTCAGAGGAGGCAGATCATGCAGGCGAGTCTCTACTTGAGTCAACCTCATCATCAACAACGCCGTCCACGTCCACCGTTATTGTGGGAAATGACAACATGGCAAATGTCACTAATCAAAATCGTGGCCGAGAGGTAACTAATTTTGGAAAATTTTACTACTAAAAACGTAAATAAATACGAGTGAAATATTTAATTGTCAGTAAATAAATTAAATAATAGGAATTTTAATAATGCAAAGATGAATGTTGATTTTATAGATTCAATATCATCCAGTTCTAGCCAAAATAGGAGTGTGGATTTCATTTTCCGCAAAAAATAATTTGTACAGCATTTAATTTTGAGTAATATGAATAATAAACCAATCCAAATTAATTAATCATAAATAAATACACTGATTAATCCTGTTTTATTGGGAACAAAAAGAATAAATATGTAAGGTGAAATTAATTCCATTATTTGATAAACTTGCACAGTTAGAAATTTAACATTAGACCAATACCAAGCCGTACTCGTATTTGACGCTTCCAAAGCGGTATTTATACGCAAAGCCATGAAGTAATAAGTCGATATTAAAGTTTTACAAGATCGGTATCCAATTTTTCCCTGATAAAAACCCTGAAAAATTGGTTCCCCAAAAAAACTAATCCTAAGTCTTTTCGCGAACTAGCGGCGCCCATGGTGGTGCCACGAGTTTAGCGCATCGGACCAAGCTTGGTACATATGTACATACATATTTGCATGCATTACGGAAGAAAATATATGGCCTGAAGTAAATTGTGGAGGGAACAATCATAAAAGGAGAGCCTACCCATAAATATTTATACAGAGCAAGTACATACATATGTATTTACAAAACTCTTGAAAATAGGTACAACCACACTCTTAGAAATTATGGTTACTTTTCGAAAAGTAATTTGGTGTGGTACATCATTCAGAGTAAAATTAACCAAAATTAGGGTAAACTTGGATACTCTGTATGGGGGATCCAAAATGCTTAACTCTTGGCCGGGTATATGCAATGAATTACACCGCATGATGTAAAATTTACCCTGTGAAATCCACGCATACCCGTTTTGAAGTTAAGGCATATCCGTACATACCCCGTCCATGGCATTATTTTCCCTCGTTACTGGCGCCATTCACTCCAGTCCCTTCTCTGTTCAACTGGAAATATTGTCTTCTAACTCTTCAGCTTAATTAAAAATTAAAAATCGTTCGAATAAACTATCAAAAAAGAGATTATCAGACATAATGGAGGACTCTGAACTCCAAAGATTACTTGCCCAACTAGGAATGGAAAAGTATGCCGACTCTTTTAAAGGTAAAATTGTTATTACTTATGTAATTATTTACTAGTTGTTTAATTATGATTCAATGAAGATGCTAAAGCGATGTTATTTTAAATAATGCTCCTCTATTTCAGGCAACAACCTTACAGACGAATCGTTGTTGCAGTTTGAGAAGGACGACCTAGTTTCCATAATTCCGGCACTTGGAGATCGGATGAAATTTTGGGGCGCTCTTGTAAAGTTAAGATCCGGACAGGTATATTCCTGTTTTATATGTCCTCAAAAGTTTCAATTGTTAAAGAGTTACTCTAATCATTTAAAGCTAACGCATAAGCTATCGGGAAATAGTCCTCATTGCTGTCATATTTGTGGAAGTTGGTTAGAGAGGAAACAGTTTTTATATCACTTCAGAAATATTTTCAAATTTCATAAACAATTATTACTCGAAACTAGTCCTATTCCAATGTTAGGTAATATGCACGATTATGGCGAGGTATTTCATCACGATGACAATTTAGTTAGGGAAGCTAGAACCGAAAGTCCGGACTTACATAAAATTCTTGCAAAATTATTAGCTGGAATTCTAAAATCTGGAAAAATGCCAATGAGTACAAAGGATGAAATTTTCAAAAACTTTAAACATTTTGTGCACACTATTTTAGATTTAGCAATTTCGATTTCAGCAAACATTTTGCAAGGTGATGAACCCATTGAAGAAAAAATTGAAAAGCTAAAGTCCATAAAAGACCTTGGGCAAGTTTTCTCTCGTATCGATAGTAAGCATAAATTGGACAAATATTTAATAGCAAATGGCTTCCTTATTCCTCCAAAAGAAATTGTGCTTGATTCTGATATATTTTTTAGACAAGTCCAAGGCGTTCAGCACCCAATTTATCAGCCAATTAAAATGCAATATGTTCCAATTAGTGACTCGATACGTCAACTTTTGCAAAAACCAGGATTTTTTGAAATTTTAGAGCAAAATACTTCATATAATGGGGAATGGTTTAGCTCATTTCGTTCTGGAAAGTTTTTTAGAGATATCAAATTTCCGAAGGACACAATATTCATAAATATTTATTTCGACGAGGCCGAGGTAGCAAATCCACTTGGTTCCAAAAGTGGAAAGCATAAGCTAGCAAATTTTTACTACACTGTTCAAGACATTCCACAGCATTACAATACATCCACTGATAATATTATATTATTATGCTCACTAAAAAGTGCCGACCTGAAATTATCGTCAGCTAATGCTGTCGTTGGCGTGATTGTGAAGGAATTGATCCAGTTATGGGAAAATGGAATTGACTTCGAACATAACGGAATAATAAGGAATGTGAAGGTAGCATTGTCACAAATTTCGGGAGACAATCTTGGTTTGCACAGCATATTGGGCTTCTCAGAAGGATTTTGTGCCAATTTTCCATGTAGGCGCTGCAAGATGCACAAAAAGGACTGTCAGACTATAACCACAGAAAATATGAGTATTTTAAGAAATATGGCCAATTACGAACAGGATGTTAGGATTTCTAATTTGGCTTTAACAGGAATTAATTTTGAATCTGTCTTGAATAAATTACCATATCATCACGTAACAAATATGTTAGTGTTCGATGTTATGCATGACTTATTAGAAGGTGTCATTCCGGATTTCCTTGTGTTATTTTTTAATTATTGCATCACGTCCAAATTTTTTAACTTTGACAAACTAAACTACAGACTGGACTCGTTTGATTACGGTAGACATTTTTTGAAAAGTAAACCTTCCCAAGTAAAACAAACTGTACTGAAAGGAGAAACAAAATCCGGACAAAACTCTTCACAAAATTTGTGCTTAATTATTACTTTACCATTAATATTGGGCGATTTGGTGCCCGAGGTAGACGAGAAGTGGACAATGATGTTGATCTTGCGTGAAATAACCGACATATTATTATTTCCTCAGATTTCAAAGGGTGGATTAATATATTTGGATTCGTTAATTTCAGAATTTTGCTATAAATATCAAGTTGAATTTTCCAAAAAGCTAAAACCAAAACATCATCACTTAATTCATTATTCCAAAGCCATTGAACAAATTGGTTCTCTCAAACAGTATTGGAGCATGACATATGAAGCTAGGCACAAGTTTTTTAAAACAACTGCTCACGTTGTGTGTAACTTCAAAAATATACCAAAAACCTTAGCTTATCGACATCAGTTGTCACACTGCTTTTCGCTCATGTCCAAGGATGTGTTCAGCCCTTCAAATTTTGTTGTTGCAAATTATGAGCATATAAAAAGTTGTGACCATTTTAGGCATGATCTGTTGCAACAACATTTTGGGAATTCGGCGGATAGTTTTGTTAAAACTGCGAATTTAGTAATTTGTAATAATTCGGATTATAGAGTCGGCTGTTACGTTTTACTCGACTACTGTCGTCTCACTTCCAGTTTTGGACAAATTGTTGATATTATTTTAGAAAGCGACGATTGCTACTTTTAGGTAAATGAGTTCCAAGGTACATTTATTGAACATTTAGCTTGTTTTAAATTGTCAAAGTCATTAAATTCTAGATTTGTCGAGCTAGGAAGCTTAGTTCACTATTTACCAATGTACACTATGAACTCATTTTACAAAAACGACAATAATCTATACTTAAATCTTCCATATGAAAAAGCGTAAATTATTAATTCATCCCATATTTTTATTTATCATGACATTTTATCATTTGTTACGGCTAAAATAATTTGTTTATTTGTATATTTATTAAGCAACATTTTACTAAAATTCTCAACGACGGCGCTAGTGAATATGGTGAGAGTCTTTTTAGCGGGTCATTAATTAGTCTTCGAGAAATGGCAGACCGAGGAATTAAACTCCCAGATCTTGACCGGACTGCCTTGGACTTACATACTCCGGAACGGCGTAATGCAAACACAAGGGTAAATTTTTTGATGAGGAAATTTATCCCAAGTAACATTACACATCCGATATACTTTTTGTATTTTTTTTGTTCACTTTTACACAGGTTTTCACATCTGCGGTCGACAACCATGAAATCCAGCGAAGCCAGCCCAGCCCAGTTACCTATTTGCATATCATTCCACACGAACTTAGTTCAGGACTGCAGGACGATGCAGGAGTGCATGTAGAATATCATCGGAATGAAAATTACAATCCGCCAACCCCCCCGACGGACGAAGGAACTTCTTCTGTACACAACATTCCGGATGCAAAGCCCGGACCAAGTAATATTCTTAAGACAATTCCAGAAGTCACTAGTTTATCGCCAATAGTTCGATACGTAAATGTAAGGTTTCAATTTTTTAAAATCTTTGTTATCATCGCTAAAGTTTTTGATTTCTAAACATTTTTATTATAATGTAGGCCCAGGCCGATTTCGTATCGAAGGAAGTATTCGAATCTCGATTTTATGGCTTTGTAAGTTATAGCAAACTGTTCTAAAAACTTAAGCATTAAATTAAGCATACGATTTTGCAAACTTTAACATTTATTTAGAATCTTAAGGCTATTCTGCACGAGAATGTGACCACACGTGATATTATCACAATCAAAATTCCTCAAAATAAGTTTATTTTAAGAAGCGATCGTCAAGCAATCTCGGCAGTACTTATTGACGCCATAATTCGCAAGCTTGGGACAAGGTACATTCAATGTTTTTTGTCGAGGCACTTCAGTTATCCAACATATACTTTAAAACACATTTTAATTTTTATATGCAGTCCAAGTAAGCAGGCGTTGGAACAGCTTGCGCGTGACCTTGTTAATACGTACCCAGTTCTTGGTGACATTAGGCGAAAAAATCTTGGATATCAAATGTGATTTTTTTATAGCACGTTGGGTAGCACTGCTAGTGGATTCTTGGACGACCGGCTGAAGAATCAACGAAAAAAAATTGCTGCTACAAAGGCGTCAAATTGTGACTCTGAATTAGACAATTTAGTAGCTTTAGATTGGGAGTCAGAAAATGAAGCTGGTAATCTAAAAAATCTATAAGTTTTGTGTAACTCCGTTGAGCTCATTCTGTATTTAATATCTAGACGATCCAGTTCCGGATGAGAAACAGCTCGAATTTATGCGCCAGAGTTTCGGACATGAAGTCAAGTCACCGATGGCTAAAACCGTCTTCCAACGACGAACAATTATCCGGACTAGTCGAGTGACAAACTTTGAATTTGTACCGTACATTGTGGAAATAATGCCTCGTTTATTTGACATGGAGGGAATGGTAAATATTGGGTGGCAAAGTTAGCAGGGATGCTAACTTTGCTGGAAAATAAATTAACTAAAGGTTAATATATTTTGCATTTTGTTGCCTAGATTTCCCAAGATTTCAATTCGCGACACCCTTCATTAGCTCTCATAATGTTTGATAGATGGCCAAAGGTCACCGAGATGATACTAGAATATGCAGAGGACAGCGGAATTGACTATAGGAAGAAATTGGATATTACAAAACATCGTTACGATTTGTCTAAAGGTATCACCAACAAGAATTTTAGAGCTTTACTTAATACATATTTGATTCATGATTAATGAGAAAATTTCATTTGCAGATGACATCCAATTTGTTGGATTTTGTCTCCTCCCATTTGTGTTACCTTCATGTGGACGCAAACTTACGCAGACCGTCGAAGATATTAATGACACTGATGAAGAAGGCACCGCCAACGCCAGATCTTCGACAAATATGGCAAAACGAAAACGGTCAAAGGGTAATGCTGTCACTATTAAGCGACGGAAGACTCAAATGACAACTTTGAAGTCATCTGATCTGGATGCACTCAGAAGCATGCTGCTAATTAAGCCGGTAATTCAATTTAAATTACTTGTGAGTTTATCAACAATTCTCTTCTTCACAAATTTATTTCCTTGGTTTTACAGAAAAACACCAATATTGCTGAGGTGCTGAAGGACAACAATTACCCCCCCCCTTCATTTTGGCATTGGGATCAGTCTCAGATTTGGAGTTTTTCGATTTCTTCATAATAATTAAAAAAATTGCAGTTCCATGTGGAAACAAATTTTTGAAGGCTTTGGATGCAACATTCAAATGTTTTACTGTATTATCGCTACCACTTCCAGTCGAGTCGTTTGATCATTGGCTTCTCATCCAACACGGCGTTTGTGGTAAGCCTTCGCCACATCAATTACCAGCGGTAGTTCAGGCTTTAATTTGTCAAGTAATGCGAAATTTTCCTTGAATTATTTTTCTACTGTGGTCTTTATTATTCATCATATGACACTTAATTAATATGTAACTCATTAAACAATTTAAAAATCTCGTTTTTGAATAAATTTTTAAGTCAAATAAAATATTTGTAATTAAAATTATTTGCCTTGTTTGGGGTATAAGAATGGGTCATATTAAGTATATACAACACCATCCAGGGTTTCATGAAATGGGTTGCATGGGGTAATGCGCGCAATGTCTACCCTGCACAGCGGAGAGTAGTCTGGCAGGCTTGTTACCCTTTGCTTCGTAGCACAGGGTAAACTGCCTTACCCTTTGCCCAGATTCGAGTTGGTTACCCTATTTAGGGCCAATGCACTTTGCACCCTGCACTTGGTAATATTTTACCCTGTACGGTGGTTTCATTTTTAAGCGTGCACTTTCAAAATTACATCCTTTACGTCTTCTGCAGGTTCCATTAATCCAGCCCCTGAAGGAAGTAAAGGTACTTACATCATTGTTTCTATGTAATGAGTAGGTCCAAGTAAGGGAACTTCCATTAATTATGTCACGTTCGATTTTTCAGACGCACCCTCCCCCTTGGCACACGTTATACCCCATTTTAATGTGTAACGCAAATATCTCGCGCAAATGTCTCGCAAAACTTTTGCTTTGCACCCCTCTCCCCCCTCCTTCAACCGTGACATAATTTATGGGCATGTCTTACGTACATATGTACATACATAAGCTGTATCCATAGTCCGTGATTTGTTCATGATTTCGTCATGATTTGATGGTTTCTCGCATCCATACTCCATAACTTTCCAAAAATTATTTGATTCCGATTTTCTGATTGGTCAATATTTTAAATTGTTATGGTGATTAACATGCTGAAATTATGAACCCGTGAAAGCATCACCACATCACGAACAAATCACGGACTATGGATGTAGCTATAGGTATGCATAAAGTACATGTGCATGTATGCTTGATAGTACATAATATCATTTTATTATTGTTCTTTCTATGAAATCATTTTACATACATATTCTGAAAAAGCTAAGCGACCAACGCCGTAGATAAGTGTCCCTACCTGAATATAGTTGATAGTTGTGTTTACATGTGTATGTACATACATGTGTATATGTATGTAACTCTGTATACATACACGAATTAATATAAGTATGTACATATGTAGATGCATATCGCCGTTTAAGCCATATTTGCATTGAAAAGGTTAACCACTTATTACAGATTAAAACCGTCCATCAAAAACAATAAAATCCTGAAATTGCTTATTATTAAAAAAAATTGCATGCATACGTATATTTATACGTACCTAAACATCCGGATTTGCAGAGCATTCTAGTCTTATAGAACTTGCAGGTTAAATAAAAGTGACTCAAAACGGTGACAGTAGGCCGAAATTATTGCAAAATTTAGGCTTGAAACGTCATTTTTTGAACTATTTGTTTGCTGAAAATTTTAAGCTTTCAAATTTATAAAAAATAAATTCATTTCTAGTTTTTCAAACTTGACATTCAGATATTCTATTTAGCACAAAATTCAGTAATATGATTAGTGACGAGACGTTAAATTTTCTACTCCGCGTGACAAACTTGTGTCGTTCATCAGGAGCAATTCCTTACTCTTGGGACGCCAAGAATCGCCGTTTTCTCATCACGAATCAATCTCTGCAGAAAACTTTGTGCTGGTTACTCGTGCAATTATTAATGTTGATGTTTGTCGTCGTGCGGACAATTTTTATAAAATTTCAATCGCACAATAACAACATCGCTTCGTTCAACTTTTGTCTATCGATCGTATTCGCGTTAATGCTTCACTCCTTGTTACGAGGGGCGCATGCTTTTTTTCCCAAGAATTTTGTATATCTTATGAATTGTGCAATAAGTTTTGCTGACGACTATAAGGGTAAGTTTAAATCGAAATTTTAAAGTTTTAATTAGAGTTTGAATCGGTAATAGGTTAAAAAGTGGTTTCGGCAGTAGGATACGAACCCGTGACTCCAGATTTTCCTGATGGTAACTCTGAACACTGAGCAAACAAATACTTATGCAACTTACCCCGTATAGCTCAGTGGTCAGAGTTACCTTAAGGAAAATCTGCAGGCATGGGTTCGTATCCTACTGCCGAAACCACTTTTTAACCTACATACTCGTTATTCCGGTAATTCTTATTCGCCCTTTTTATAAATGGCACTACAAAGACAATCAATTGTTGTCGTCAATATTACCTCTCAAATTTGAAATTTTCTATATTTTTCAGCGGACTGGTACCCCAATTTGGATCTGTCCACCTCCAAATGGAATACTTACACGGTCATCTTCTTCAAGGCGTGCATCGTTTCAACATTCTTGGGATACCTAGCCACGACCTGGCTCTACTTCGTGTTTCCCGACATGCCCCCATTTCCGGGTGACCTTTTCCCCCCACAAATTTACTACTATTACCTCAGCTACCTCGTATTCGGTCTGTTCTACCCGTGCTACCTTTTCATGGCCTGGTCCACCCTACTTTTCGCCCTCTGTTTGACCTTCGCCTTCGTCGCCTGCCTAACTCCTGTCTTGACGTCTGACTTTCGCGGCGACCGGGCACCCGCAATCGGCCAAAACATCGAACAACTTCGTCATCTTGAGAATCTTACCCGGGTTTACCGGCAGGTGGAACTCCTGCACAAATTATTTCTGGAAAATTACGCCTTTATGCTCGTCCCAGTACAATCTTTGGTCGGACAATACGGTCTAATTTGCAATTACTCCCTAATTTCGCAATGGAATGAGATGGATGACGCCACGAAGGTGTTTTTGCTCACGCTACTTGTTATATCCCAGGTCACGTGGTACTTGTTTTTAACTTTGAGTGGGTGGTTTTACGATAATTCGGTGAAGGTGTTGAAGTCTTGGAAGGCTTTGGGGGTAAGGAATGCGTGGGAGGGGAAATTGCTGAGGAAGTTTAGAAAATCGTGTAAACCGATGTATATCGGGTATCCGGGTGTTTTTCGGATAAGGTATGTCACTGTGTTGAAGTATTTTCAGGGATTGACGAGAGGCACGTTCAGGATGCTGATAGCGTTAAGGAAATGTAATAAATAGACATTTTAAAGTTTCGAGTATTAATTTAATTTAATAAATATTAAAATTAAATAAAGTTGCATAAATAAGTCCTTCATAGATTTTAAAATGTCAATTTCCCCCTATTTAGTGGCTTTAAATAGAAATTTCTAAAATGACATCAATTTCATGACAAGTGGAACTTTTGATACGTTAAGTTACGTAGAATTTTTGGTACTACTGAACGAAAGCTGGAGTTAAAAATTTGTTTTGGCTTAAGTATATATTTGCCATTTTTTCACAATAAATTGTCTCGAAAACAGGTACACTACGTAATTTCATTAATATCATTTATTAAGCTTGGTTAATAAAACATATAGCTTTTGAGTAAATTATCGAGGTAATAGTCATAAAAGATAGATTAGCCTATCCCTGTAAATATGTACATATGTAAAATTTACATATGTACATATTGTAAATATGACATTGTAAATATGTATGTATGTACAGCTAGGAATTCCTGAAAACATTAATTTGAAAATTGAGCTTAAGGGATGTTCATAAGTTACGTGACGCTAGTGGGGGGAGGGAGGTCTAAGGCTCAAATGATCCCTTGCCTATTTATGTGACACATATTAAATGGGGAGGGAGGTTGTATGAAACATCCCGATGATTAATGGACGCCCCCTTTTCACAGGTTATGATATAGCCTTATGCCTCCGTAGGCACGGAATGTTTAAATGTCCTCGTTTACGACATGTATTTACATACATTGAAAAGACAACAATTATAGTTTAAAACCGCCCTCCCAATTTGGGAGGGCGGAACCCAATAAAATCGACAAATTGCATATTATTATTTTAAAGCAACAGTATACATAGATAGATGTTTACATGCATAATTACCTAAACATACTGTTTTCCCATTTTGTAGAACATTCCAGACTGTACAATTTGCAGGTTAAAAAAAACAACTCATAGCTGTGACGCAAGCTCAATTCTTGTACACTTCATAGTTACCTACATATGTATGTATGTAGGTTTGGAACGCCATTTTTCAAGTATCTACTTCCTGGGAATCTTGTTTTACATACGTACAGGGTGGTTTAAACTAATGGAAATTTACGAATTTTTCCCATTGAAAAATTTTCCGTTGTTGCGTGACATTTAAACCACCCTGTACACACATTCGTAAATTTTAAGCTGAAAAATTGCATCCAAAACATGCTTAGTGACGAAACTATCAACCTGCTCGTCCGCCTGACCAACGTGTGTCGCTTATCGGGTGCAGTTCCTTACTCGTGGGACGCCAAAAATCGCCGCGTTTTCGTCACGAATCAATCTCTACGCAAAACTTGGCGGTGGTTTGGGGTGCAAATATTAGTCCTACTATACATCGTCGTGCGGGCGATTGTTGTCAAATTTCAGTCGCACAGTAACGCCTTCGCCTCGTTTAACTTTTGTCTATCTATTCTATTCGCGTTAACGTTGCACTCCTTGATACGAATACCGCTTGCTTTTTTCCCTAACAAATTTGCACATCTTGTGAATTCTGGGCTACGTTTTGCACAAGACTACAAGGGTAAGTTGGTCAATTTTTTCGAAATTTTGTATTGCACTCTTAAAAAGGATGTTACCCTTTTGAAAAGTACATCTTTTTTTAAGCTACACTGGGGGATTGTGTAACGAGTTATAGCAAAAAGTCAAGCCAAGGATAAGGAATCATGTGGCACTTATCATTCCGTTGAATGGCGTCTTTGACCAAAAATATTGGGGGGCATATGTAGAACCCACGAGCGCCTTGGTTTTCGCCTGGGAGAGTAAATTTACTAAGAAATTGAACCTTGCGGCAAATATTTTTCTTAAAATGAGCCATTCAACGGAGTTATAAGCGCCATGTGATTCCTAATTTTTGGCTTGATTTTTTGTTATAACTTGTTACACAATCCCAGTCTAGCTTGATTGATTGATTGGTGCTTTATTCGAATGTTTAACCAGTTCACAGTTACAAAC